TTTTGTTTTTTGCGGCTCTGATGGACTTTAAAACAATTTTTTTTGGGTTTTAACTGATTTTTAGGTAACAAAAAATTTGAAAAAGCATTTTAGGTAATAAAAAGCTTAAAAAGTGTATTTCAGGTAACAACAAAAAGCTTTAAAAAACGTATTTTAGATAATAGAAAAATGGAGAAAATTTTTAGGGTTAGGGGCACAGAATTATTTGAAAAACCTAATAATTTAAAAATTATGGTTTTAAATGTTTAAAAATTTTAAAAAAATGCAAAATTTTTTTTTTAATTTTTTAAGTTTTTTTGAGCCGTCTCTTCCCGTCTCCAACTTTTTTTTAAAACCCACCTACAACAATATCCCCCTGATCCCCCAGCCAAAAAGAAACAAAATAATATTATTTTTGGAGCGAAACTTTTACGTTTCAGCCCTGAGGGGCAAAACGGGAAAAAGAGTTTTGGACCGCTTTTTCAAAGACCGATTTTGACTTTGAAACAACTATAATATGCAAAGGGATGGTAATTGAATATGATATCGAGTGTATTATAACATGTTCTTGTTTATCTCCAGCTGCAAATTAATTTTTACTTTGGGAGATAGAGTAGAATGTTTGTTACAGAGTGGAGTAGAGGGTTTGTTACTTTTGAAGAGGGAAATTAAGAGTTTAAAGAGTAGATTAAAGGTTTTTAAATAGGTTTTTTAGGGTGGTTATAGTTAATATATATTCTTGATGGTTTTATCTATGTTGTAGTAGGTATTTTTGACTTTTTTTCTGGGTTTTAAAAAGTGTTTTTTGCATTTTTCTAATAAAAGTAGGTGTTATTTTAGAATTTGTTATAAAACTACGTTTTTTGAGCTGTTTTTGGTTTATTTTTTAGGTTTTTGTGAACATTGCTATATTGTAGTAGATATTTCCGACTGTTTTCTAGTTTTTAGTGCATAGTTTTTCGGATTTTTCTTATAAAAATAGGTGTCTTTTGGGGTTTTTTCTTAAAATACTCAGTGTTTCTTATCAATTTCAATATTTTTTAAAGTCTTTTTATTAGAGTTTGATTTATTTTAGGTATTTTTTCACTATTTTAAACGTGTACTAGCCTTTTTTCAGTTTTTTTAATAAACTAAAAGGTGTTTCCAGACCGTTATTATGTTAAAGTAGACGTTTTTAGCCAGACTTAAGATTTTAAAAGGTATTCTTGTTTGATTTATAGAGTTAGATAGACATATTTTATTCGTTTTTACATTGTGGTAGACCAACTAGAGCTTATTTTATTGTCTACAATTTTTTTGAGCCTTTAGGTAATAAAAAATTATTTCTTTAAAAAGTAAAGGCAAGTTACAGAGTAAAAACCATGAAAAGTTACTGAGTAAATTTTATTAAAAGCAAGAACGAGTTAGTTAGTTGCCAAGAGTAATACGGCCCAGTACATTGTGTGCGAAATTATTGCGTGTTTGTTTTTGAGCCATTAAACGGTTTTTGTTAGTCCAAGATTACCTCGTCAACAAGTAGAGATGTCACCGTTTTCGTACAGTTTTTTTGAAATTGAAATGTCTATAAATAAGCGATGGTCTTGGTAATATGTAAAATACGGCACGTTTAGATGTTCTTGTTCAATTTTATACATTGCTATATATATTTCAATATTTAGTAGGACAAGGTAGATTAAGGTAGGAAGGGATAGGGTAGAATTCAGTAAAGGCAAAATATAGTTAAGGCAAGGCAAGAAATTGGAAATCTTAGGTAAGGATAGACTAGGGTATGTTAAGGTATAGTAGTGTAGGGTAGGGTAGGGTAGATTTAGTATACTTATAGTAAACATAAATAGCATAGTAAGTGTCAATTCGTGTATAATTATACGCCTACTCACTTTTGTAAATTTGATCATTACAATGTTGTTGTAAATAACTATGATTGTAAAAACAAGAAGTACCATGGCTGATTGTCATTGAAAAAAGAGACTTGAGAGATTTGACCTTGGTCAGTCAGCACTTTAAACTTCCGCTTATCACAAACACTTTGCAAACAACTTCATTTCGGTTTACTGAGTTTTAAATTTTGATTGTATTTGAATTGAAAAATAGGTTTTAACTGATAGTCAAGGACTTATTACGCATTTTGGTGTATACTTTAGTCCGGCAGGGCTTTTGGCTAACTTTAAAACTCGCAAGTTTTCTTGTGGATACCTAAAGGTATGATTTTTCTAAAGAAGACTTCTGATTAATGCAGTTTACGGTAGGCTTTGCTTATGGAAGGGGGAAGAGTGGGCCAGTAGAGCCTTGTTAAAGCTAGGGTAGGGCATCATAAGTTACAGTAAGTGAGGGATAAAGTATGGCGAAGTAAAGTAAAGTTCTGTAGGGTATCTGGGTAGAGCTAAAAAATAACATTTGAGCTTTAATGTGGCAGAGTAAAAAAATTGTTTTCTTTAGTTTGGGCATGGTGAAATCTTGAAATGGACTAAAGTCTTTGATGTGGCTGGGATAAAATTACGAACTTTTTTTGCTTTGGGCTGTGTAAAAATGAACTTTTTCTTTAGTTTGGGCAGGGTAAAACTAATTTTTTTCTTGGATTTGGGCGGGGTTAAAACGAGCTTTTGTTTTTAATCCGGGCAGGGTAAAATTTAACTTTTGTCTTTGCTGTGGCCAGGGTAAACTTACGAACTTTTGGCCTCGATGGAGGTAGGGTGAAATCCCGAAGATTTGTCTTTAATTTAGTTTTAACTTTTATCATTTTTGACTTAATTTTTTGAGAAATTAGCGTTCGAAAGAGGAAAGACCAATTAGTTATTTTAAAGAGATTTTCAATTAATGTCACTTTGGAAAACGTGTATTTTTAAAGTGCAAACACTTAATAACAGATCAGATAATTACTGTTTTTAGTATCTGAAAGGTGTTTTTTAGTATTTTTTAATGTTTAGGTAACACTTTTTGACATAAAAGGGTATTTTTTGGTAATTTTATGAAAAATTTGTTGCCTAAATTATAATTTTTTTTTGTTTTCCAAGTAGTTTTATGCCTTTTTTTGATTCTAAGCAAAATATTTTTAAATTTTTTAAAACTTTTTTAGTGTAAAACATTTTGCCGTTTTAGCCCGACTTTCTTTCACGGCTAGATAATTCTTCGCCGCGGGCGAACGAAACAATTTAAAAGTCTAAAGAGTCTTCTTTTCTTGTCACATTCCCATAAACAGTCGATTAGAAAAGGTTCCTTTTGTCTTGCAACTTCTGAAGGCATTAAACCCTCAGGGCTCCAAAGGAAAAGGCATCTGTAAACAAACATGGCTAATATTGTTACTATGGCTAATATAGTTAGAGTGGCACAATTTGATTACAAATATTGAATATAGCAAAATGTGTTGACATTACAATCTTGCATTGTTGACAGGGAATGTAATGTTAGATTTTGGAAATTTAAAAAATTATAAAAATGATCATGAAGTTTCTAAAAAATAAAATTTTTGAAAATTTTAAAATTTAAATTTAAAGAAAAATTTTAGTATAAAGAACAAGGTCAAGAACTAAGATAATATAAGCTATCTTTTATTTAAATATAAGCTTGTTCAAGTAGTTCTGAGCTTTTGAATTCCAAAAATTTGCTTTGAAAGAGGGAACGGAACTATATGAACAACTTAACTCGTTCAGCACAACGTACTATGTAAATTTTAGTACAAAGTGCTAAGAAACGTAATTTAAAGTTTGGGTTCTGAAATTTAAACTCAATTTTAAACGATTTTAAAGTGCAAAAGTTAAAGTAAACGTGATATTCTAGAAGGTAACATTAACATCTTTTAAGAAACCTTATAGTAGTCATGTTTGATTTGAGACAGGGTTAAAATAATTTTAAAAAATAAAAAAAAATTTTAAGATTTTTTTAGGTCATAGCTTTAACATTATCCTGAGCGTCTTAGCCTTAGCATTAGACTTAGCCCTAACTCTAGCTCTAGCTCTATCCCTATCTCTAGCTTTAGCCCTACCCCTAGCCATAGCTTTAATTGCACTTATGAGTCATGGTACTATAAAAAAATTTTGAATCTGATCAATAATCATATAGGATCTTAACGCAATTATTCGTCCTATAATCAAATTGTCTTATCTTCACCTACTTACGTAGCCTTCCTCCTCCACTCGCCCTCTCACTTTATTTGTTGTTCTATTTAACGCACAAGTGCAGAAATGGCTGGAAAAATAACAATTTCTTCGCAAACTTGTAGACATAATTAGGTTATGGACTAACAAACTGCGCCCTGGCCTCGGGCCAAAATGGGCGGCCTAAGCTTGGGAAAGCGGGGAGTCACCTCTGCCGATAGTGTTAATATTTGTCTGCACTTCTTTCTCTCTTCGCTTCTGGCCGTCAGGAAACGAGAAACACATTCGTCTTCACTGAGTTCGGATAACACCATGATCTCAGGAGCATTGGCTATGTTATTGTGCTAAATAGTACTATTGAGGCTTGTGCTACAGAGTATTGCATTGATCTGCGTATTATGTACTATACAGTATTGGACTAAAAAGTGTTGCATTGACGGTATTGAAAGACTGGTACCAGTAGGCTAAAGGTACTAGTGGGTATTGTACTATAAAGTATATTACTGACTGGGCTAAAAGTCAAGTATATTCGCTAGACTTTTGTACTGACTAGTATTGTACTGACAATTGCAGTACTGATACTTAATTATTATTTACTTGACGCTTTTACTTTTTTTTTAGAAGTTGATACTCTTAATCTTCTTGTACTATTACTACTACTAATTAGACAAGTTTAGTACTAATAGTACTGTATCTAAGTATACCCTACACGTCGTTTGTTAAGCTAATATTTTACTTCAACTATATTTTTACATTGTCCTTTTACTAGAACACAATTCCGTTCGTAGTACTACACGTTCTGAATACAGTCTTTATTATGCTCTAAAGTTTATGATCTAGAACTAAATTTTCTTAAAAAAATATGTTTTTCTCCTAAAATTTCTTGTTTTTATTGCCATTTTCTTCAAACCCAACTAAAGTTATGTCAAAATGAAGCTAGGTACTCTATTCCCTAAGCGATCAACCGCCTTCCTTCACAGTTTAGCACCGCCGACGGAAACACAACGGCGTGGAACGCAGTCGGCGCCGATAACACCCACTGATCTTGGACTTAACTCGAAGCCGAGGTTTGAAGTAAGGTTTTGGTAGTTGTATTGAAAGGTTTAGTGGTTATACTGTAATATCTAGTAGGTGTACTGTAATATTGGTAGTTATACTGCAATACTTAGTAGTTATACTGTAATGTACTGTACTGTGATAAATAGTATCTTGATTTTTTAGAGAAGATTGGGCTTTTTTTCTTTGTATGCACAACTCTGGCCCAATTTTAAGTTTCTAGCTTTGGCAATTTTCAAAATTCAAGATCCGGCTTTGGCTTTAGCTTCAAAACCCGCACTGTTCCTAAGCCGGAGACAAATCTAGCTGCTAGAACTATTTATGTAATGTTTTCTTCCGATATGCTAAGTTTGAGTTATACTTTTGAGCTTGACGATGAAGAAAATATTAATCCCTTTCCTCCCCCTATATCTCTCTGCTTGATCAGCCTTCAAAAAGTACTGTCTTAAGAATCAAAATCTACCCCAAATCTTTAAAAAATCCCCTAATTTCAAAGCGAAAATCTTAAATTTAGTAAATTCTTCAATTAGGAGTCCTAATCTTTGCCCTCGAATCCAGTTCCTGTACTGTCTAATGCATTCTTGTGTAAATGACAGGCCTGTTACTCGAAAACCCAATCCGAGAAGACAATTCAGAAGCCCTGCGTCACGAATTCAAACCTAATTTGAAGGCATTTCTTTTCCCCAAGATTTTCACAAACTAGGCTACTTTTCAACGTTTCAAATTCAAATTTTCAGTTTTTTCTGGCTTCAGGCTGTTAGAGAGTAAAGGGTTACATATGTTATTGTGTTTGGAGGTTTTTTTTGATCATATAGTACGAGTTTGTACTGTAAGGACAGAAAGTTAGTACTAAGTTAAAATTTTATACTAACATGGAAATTTACTTTTTTAATTGAGTCGGGCTGATTTTCTGCTTAACCTGACCCATTTTAAGTTTTTCTCGGCCCAACTGCCTAAAGACCGGTCCGGCCCGATAGCCAGGTCTAAGGAAAGTACCTAACCTGCGCCACTCAAAATCAGCTCAAAAATTCTTTATGAATTCTTTGCACCGTCAATAGTACCTATATAAAACATTTTTTCTTGCGCTTTTAAATTTTAAAATTTAACTATTTGAATTTCACGTTAACGTGGCACATTTGACATTGTGTTTCAAGCACTTTTTTTGACTTTTCAAACAAGTTACCTTTACAATCTTTAAAATGTCGGTTTATTTAAAGGTTTTCTACTGTTATATCCAAAAAAAATTAATGAACGTTAAAAAATGACGAAAGCTTGAAACACAATGCCAATTCGACGCGAAATTCAAAACGTAATTTTTTAATCTTGATTTTCTTGAGGTTTCCCGGAAATTGCAATTTAGTACTTTGTTGAAGGTCTTATATATACATGACGTTTCTGTATAAAAAGTTTGAAGTCAATCAAAGCGAGGCAGGTCGAGCATTCTCAATGTAAATTTTAAAAAAATTTTTAGTTTTGAATTGTCATTGATTTTCTGTCTACGAATAAGAAAAGAAGTAATTTTCATTAATTTCTTTTCATTATTATCATCTTCTTCCCCTCCCCAAAACATTGATAATGTAAAACAACCCAAGCGCTCAGCCTTGAAATTCAATCTTTCGTACCAAATCCGGACCCAATCAGCATTCGGCCATTTCCCAAATTGCCTTCAATCCTGATGCGCAATATTTTTCGAGTGTGGCCAATTGCCCTTAAAGACATGAACAAACAGTGAGGGCCGGGGTCAGTTACAGAGTTTTATTACATTCAGTAGGTTGCTCCGTGCTGCATGGGAGGGGGGGGAGGGAGGGTTATATGGGTTTTATAGTGTTTTAATAGGCTTTGGGGTCGAGGTTGAGTAGTTGGAGTGGTATGAAAGTGGTTATTGTGCGGGGGTAGATATAGAGGTGATAAAAGTTTAGGGCAGGGTAAAGTAGGGTAGAGTAGGGTGAAATTGTCTTATGAAAAAATTAGTATCTAAAGTATTTTAGATTTTTAAGTTGTTTTTTGACATTTATGTACTAGTATACAGGGTGTGTAAAAAGTTTTGTTACAAAGCTCTATTGTACCAAAAGAACTAGGTGAATAGTCTATACGGTCAATGTACTCCAAGACAAAGTTTTTCATAAAAAATTTTTTAAAAAATACTTTAGATGTATAAACCGTGAATCATTGTTATCTACGCAAGGCAATTCTTATGTAAATCCGCGAAAACTAGTATTTAAACTTTAAAATCATAACATTAGCCATTTTACCCTTTTTCAGATAAATAGTCTATGCTGTGTTATACTCGTTTTTGAAAAGTTTAATCTTTTTGATTTTTTTTAAATTTTACAAAAAATTTTTAAAAAAGTTTTTTAAATACGCCAGCGAATCCTCTACATTGTTATGGTTTACTGATATAACATTACATTAGAAATTGTAAATTTAAAATTGAAAAAAAGTAGTTGTCTTGGAAAATTCGTACATAGTGTAAGGTTTCATATTCTACAATGAAAACATCACCTTCGAGTTTAGATAGTATAATATAGTTAAACTAGTTGTTAAGATTAAATTTACTTTTCTGTCATCAAGTTGTCAATATTGTTTTCAACCAAAGGTTAGAGCTTCAGACCGGTTGATGAAAAGAACCTAGGTAGCTACGGAACAAAAGCATTGACGTCATGCTTTTTGACGTAAATTTAAACTTTTTTTAAGTTAGCGACATAGTTTTTACTATGTAATTAAATGAGTCAGTGAGAAGTTTTGTTTAAAATTTAAAACTTAAAATTTGAGGTTTTAGGCAAAAATCAGTACAGATCTCGGGATTAATACATCTATTACTTGTAAGATATGATAAAAAACATTGACACAGGCTTCTTTCTCTTTCAGTATACTAAATTTTAAGTCTATCCTACACCTAAAAAGGAAGTTACTAGCTCCGGACCGGCTCTTTTATTAATACAAGTCTACCCTATCTTTTTCTTATTCAACCTGTATTTTACAAAGCATCTTTTTTATGTATCGCCATTATCTTCTTAAAAGTTTTCTTACTTCGCTTGATACTCGTATTCCCTATTTTTAACCATTCCCCCCCCCCTCCCTCCTCTCCTCCCCTTCCTTCTCCCCCCCCCCTCCTTATACTAATCACTCCAGCGGAAGCATGACTCACCCCCCTCCAAGTACCACGGAACCAACACCTCTTGTCTTATGGTCTTGTCGCTTATGTAAAACGCGCAAATTCCCAGCCTGCAAATAGAAACCCCCTCTCCGTAGGGGGCGACACCAACACGTGAACAGCGGGGAAAAGGGGGGGGGAGGGATCGAAGCGAGAAAAAGTTTTTTGCAGATCGCTGTCCCCCTGTTCTTGTCGCTACCCGCCTCGAGCGATCACCCCCCTCAACCTTCGCAGTTTTTCTTTACTTTCACCTTCGTCGCGCTTCATTTAAACCATTGATTTCGTGCTTCCAAGTCTTGTTTATCAGTTACATGTTATCGTGATGTTATCGAGTGATAAGCGTCGGGATTCTCGGAGCGGCGGGTGTTTTTGAGGAAGTAGTTGGAGTTGGGAGTGGAGTTTTGGGTAGTTTGGTTTGAAAAGTTTTGATAATTTGGAAGAGATCAACAGGAAGGACCAAGCTTAACTTTTTTTCGAAAAAAATTTTGGGTGGAGAAGAGTAGTACTAAAGAGGTAGTTTTCCAAAAAAACTTTTAGAAAGAATAAGTTTAACTTTTGCAATTTTCAGGCGGGGTAAAAAGACCCCCCAAAAGCTAGAGCAGAAATGAAAAAAAAACCTTGATTTGCTTTGATTAGGTTCAGAAAAGTCGATTGAACGTGATTATCTTGTTTTGATTTGACGGAAAAAAACTAATTGAGATGTGACAATGAATTCGAAGAGAGGGGGGGGGTCTTCACGTTGTTTTTCACAAAATTCTTATTTGAAACCTATCTTTTGACTTTGACAAGGTAAAAGAGGACTGTCTTTCCAATTTTATTTTAGCTTTTGGTTTTTTACTTTAGCAAGGTTTGGCGTGCAATTTGAATTTTTGAAAAATGTAGGGTGGATCTTGTTTTTTAATTAAAATTTAGTAAATTATAGTTACAGCTTGAACTGTAATAGACATTTGTTATAATATATACAACGGTAAAGCCATAATAAGTTAATTACTACAGCAAATTATCGAATTATAGGGCTAATAAAGTCTTGTCGTTGTTTGCTTTAAAAGTGTGTGTTTAACAACGACAAAACTTTTTTTTAATGTTATATTTAGTTATAAACATTAAACCCTGCTCTTCCCTATCCTACCTCAAGCTTTTAACTCAGAAAAATCGAAACGAGGCAGGTCGGGCTGAAAAATCGGCTCGGCTCCATCGCCAAGTTCAGCTTTAATACTAGATAGTACTAGGAGTATAACAATAATTTACTATAGTAATATAAAAAATTGTTCTCAATTTATTTCGAAGGTGTTTACTATGAAAAACCTAGTGTTTTGTATTTTATATTATAGGTAAATAAAGTATCTTTATTTGGTCTCGAAACAACCACTGAACTTTAACGTTTTGTACAATGAAATATCAATCAATAAGCCATGATACGTCGTTTACAAACATAATATCATGGTATTTTTCTTGTCAACTTATTTTATTTTACTTTGTCATTACCTCGTATGTAAACCTAAATGTTGTTGATGTGTACCTATTTATGTGAACTATAGCCTCAGGGTGGCGGTGTTCTATCTTCACGACCTTTTCCTTCCAGATCCACGATCTTTTCCCGTTGGAAGATCTCTTACAAACGGTTGTATTGGAGGGTGTGGACGTCGAAGACCCCATGGCTACACAGACTGACGCCGCCGTCCGGCTCAAGTTGCTGCGACCAGAGTTGCCGGACGAACAGATACCTAAAGGAGCGACGTTGGGCGACTTAACTTGTGCTATTAATGTCAAAGAGAAGGTGGATATTAATGGTAAGAATATGAGTTTTATAAAAAAAGTTTTTACTCTTGACAATCTAAAAGGTTTATAAGACAGTAGAAAGGTTGTTTTGTATGTTTAAGTGTGAAAAAACTGAAATTGACGACAAGACTTCCTTACACAATGTGGATTGCAGATGACGTATCTTACACGGTAACTTTTAAAATTTAAAAAATATTTTTAAGGCGAAAACCGACTGATACAAAAGCGAAAAACAGTACAAATAGAATGGGACAAATGCTTCGATGTAGCTATCATACCAGGAAGAGTACTCCAAGTACTGCTTCAACACGAAAAAGCTCAAGTTGCAGATGCTACTATGCGCTTGGAGGTAAGATACCATTTTCAATGCAGTTAAATTTGTGGCTGCCCTACCCTACCCTACCCTACCCTACCCTACCCTACTCTATCCTACCCTACCCTACCCTACCCTACCCTACTCTATCCTACCCTACCCTACTCTGCCCTATCCTGTCCTACCTTACTCATTCGTCCCCTACCCCACGTGCCCACCTAGTCTTACTTTTTTCTATCTTGCCATACTATATCATGCTTTTCCCTGTCTTACTTTTCTTTCCCCGGTATCTCACTCTACTGTAATCTAGATTAAGCCCTTGTTTACTAACAATGATCCCTTAAATTTTAAAATTCCTTTAACAACCCCTCATAAAATGCCAATTGCAGGACATTGCCTCCAAATGCAAACACGACGCGATAACTCACATCTGGATCAACCTCAAGCCATGTGGCCGGATATTGGCTCAAACGCGGCGAGTTGGATCGGCTCCATCCACGAAAAGCGAGGATCCGAGTACGCCACGCGGCTTCGAGTCAGGCGGAATGGGACTGCAACGCCGGCGTGGTGCTATCAAGCATCAAAAGGTGCACGAGATCAGAGGCCACCAGTTCGTAGCGACCTTCTTCAGACAGCCGACTTTTTGCTCGTTGTGTTCTGAATTTATGTGGTGGGTCCTTTGATAACAGATTTAAATTTAATTTTGTTATACTAAAAAGTTAGGGTAAGAAATAAGAGATACCAAAGGGAAAGGATGAGAGTTATTAAAAAAAATTGTTTTGTTGATTATGAGAACAAAACCTTCAAAAAATTTTTTACAACGAAAGTACTCAACCGGCCCCGCTCTGATTGACTTCAAACTTTTTATACAGAAAGGTCATGTAAGTATAAGACCTTCAGAAAGATAATAAAATTTCTTCATCAAAGTACTAAATCACGCTTTCCAGTCAAAATCAAGGAAATCGAGATCAAAAAATTATTTTTTGAATTTCTCGCTAATTTGGCATTGTGTTTCAAGTAGGGTTGGACATTTACCGGTAAATTGATTTTTCGGTAAAAATTTTACCGGTTTTTACCGGTAAATTTACCGGATTATTACTTGGTCTTTAAAAACTTTAAAATGTCATTAAAATGTTTAATAAGCGTTTTAAAACAATAAAATAGTAAGTATTTCACTCTTTTACTTTAACTACTTATAAGTCCAATAGCTCTGTCCACTTCTTTTTCCCTACCGGTACATGTTATGTTGACGTAGCTAGTCATAGATGATTGGATGACCATTGTCCACTAGACTCTGCTCGGTTCGATGGAATCTTTTGTTTTCCGCATTTTTGCTCATATAATTGCACGACCTGTTCTTGATCATTTGAAGATATCTTAGTGCCATTGTTTCGCTAAATAATCACAGACCTATACATAAAGTATCAAAAATCAACAAGAAAGTTTAAAAATCGAATTTTCCGTCCTTGTGAGTTGTTGGCAGAAGATGTTGGTACAGTCTTGTAAGGTTACTGACGTATTTTGCACCACAATAATTGCAAAAGTAGTCATTATTTGTTCTTTTGTAACGGTCTGTGATATTTTTCAACATATTTCGTCAAAAATTTTCCTAATTTTCCAAAAACAAAAACAAATTTTGAAACAAAAATAATTTTCGTGCTAGGACACAAAACACTTTTTTACCGGTAAAAAACCGAAATTTTCGGTAAATTACCGGTAAAATTACCGGTAAATTTACCGGTAAATGTCCAACCCTAGTTTCAAGCTTATAACTTTGCCATTTTTTGACTGTTAATATTTTTTCTTTAATATGCTAGTAGAAAAATTTTAGCCGGACTTACGTTTTTAAATTTGTAAGCTAGTAACTTTCCTGGAAAGTTAAAAGAGTGCTTGCAAGTTGCAACATAATGCCAAATTTGTTAAATTAGCGAAAACTTCAGACATTTTAACTTTGATACTCAAGAGCGAGAGCTAAAATTCCTTATAGGCAATATTGGTGATACAAGAAATTCATATAAAAAATTTGAGCTGATTATGAGTGGGTCAAGTTGGGCAGTTTTCTTGTTATAATAGATCTCTTTCTTTCTCATTACCTTTGACATTGAAATAAAATTTGCTTCAACAATATAATACCGCCTAAACTTTTAAGGTTTTTTTTTGAAATTTTAGTTACTTTAGGTTCATTTTAAAAACTTAATTTTAATTTTTTACATTTCAGGGGCCTGAACAAACAAGGATATCAATGTCAGTTGTGTTCGGCGGCGGTGCACAGGAAATGTCATGAAAAGACATTGAGTCAATGTCCCGGGTCGGCCAAGAATACAAAAGATACTATTGTGAGTTGGATCTTTGTTAAAATATAGTATTGTCACTCGCAAATGAGATTCTAGACTTTTTCGTATTATTATTACCTACAAAGTAGATTTTTGGATTTAAAATGTCTATTATTACCTAAAACAATATATTTTTTGCAAAAAATGGCTATTACTCATTAGTATTTTAGTTGTTATTGACTGTCCTTGACTGTTTTTAGTACTTTTAAAGCCAAAAGAGGGGTACAATAACATAATTTTTGGCATTTCAAAATATTTTTTTGAAATACTAATAATGATGATGTTGTAGTAGCTTTTTTGGTCATTAAAAGGGATTTTTGGGTAACAAAAGTGATGTTCGAGTTAATAATTGGCCTATTTTTGTATTTTTTTGTACAATGTCAATATATAAACTATAAAAAACAGTATATCTACCCTACAAAACAAGATATAAACCTTCCAAAAAATATTTTTATACCTTCCTCCTTTCAGTACCTAAAAGAACGCTTCAAAATCGACGTACCTCATCGTTTCAAAACCTACAACTACAAATCCCCAACGTTCTGTGACCACTGTGGCTCACTCTTATATGGTCTCTTCAAGCAAGGCCTGAAGTGTGAGACGTGTGGAGTGAATTGTCATCATAAATGCGAGAGACATATGCCAAATCTTTGTGGAGTCAATCAAAAACAACTGTCCGAAGCATTGTTCGAGATCAAGCGTGGAGCTCATTCTTCTGTCAATTCTACCCCGCCTAGTATTGGTTCGTTGTCGATTTCTGGCTCACCGGTTGATAAACAGAATGGAGCTGCGAATGGGGTTGGTGGGAAGTTCAAAGCGTTGTTTAGGAATCATAACTACAGTTTGGATCAGAGTGAAGAGTAAGTGGTAGAGGTAGTACAATATTATAAGTTTTACCATTTTTTTGTGATTTACAGTACTTTTACCATATAGATAATTGTTTAACAGTCATGTCTGGTCCGTATTTTACAAAAAAGTCTCTGTTGGCCGTTTACCCTAGATCGTACTTTACAAAAAAACCTCACTTCAATTTTTTCAAATTTTCAGATCAGCCACCTCATCAGCGACCTCGGCCGACGCTCCAAAGCAGTACAAGCTGAACAACTTTACGATTCAAAAAGTTTTGGGAAAAGGAAGTTTCGGAAAAGTTTTACTGGTCGAATTGAAAGGCCGACAACAATTCTATGCCATGAAATGTCTAAAAAAGGATGTCATTTTGGAGGACGACGACACGGAATGCACTTTCATCGAACGACGGGTCTTGATTTTGTCATCTGAATGCCCATTCTTATGCCAATTGTTCTGCTCTTTCCAAACTAATGTGAGTTTTGGGTAGGGAGAAGACTTTTTTGTAATGGGTGGGTTAGGGATTGACATGAGGAACTAACCGGGCTTGAGTGTTAGGCTCAGATTGATCTAAATTTTGCTAAGGGGTGGCCCGGCTCTAATTTTTTTTACATTTGTGCAAGCAAGCCGGGTTTTCATTTTTAGGCCCGGCACGATCTTAATTTGTGTCAGGACCGGCCTGGCCTGTTCTTCATGTCTTGTTAGAGGTGACAAACGGCCCGGTCCAACTTTTTAATTACAAATGCGCTCGGGCCCGGTGTTCTATAATAACTTTTAGGCTAGGATCGTTTTTATTTTTATTTAGGCTAGACAGGCTTAGTTAAAAAAATTAGGCCCAGGCTATTTTTAAGGGAATGCAGGGTAGTATACTGTAGGATGGTGTAAGATGGGATAGGTGGAGATAGAGTAGGGTAGTCTTTTTTAATTTTTAAAATTTTTTTTTAGTTGACTTTAATTGGTTTCTGAAACAATATTTTTTCAGGAATACCTATTCTTCGTGATGGAATACTTAAACGGTGGTGACTTGATGTATCACATTCAACAAGTCAAACGCTTCGACGAGAATCGTACCAGGTTCTATGCATGCGAAATCATCTGTGCTCTACAGTTTTTGCATTCCAAAAATATTATTTACAGGTAGGGAATTGGTCTTGGAACCTTTACGTAGGTCTATTGTATTTTACTAAGAATTTTGATCTATATAGCCCTATTGTACTTTTACAAAGAAAAAACATGTTATCAATCACCTACACATACCTTTTTAACCTTACTATACCCTATCTAACTCTGCTATACCTTTTCAGAGACCTAAAACTAGATAACATCCTCCTAGACGCTGATGGTCACGTTCATCTAGCTGACTTTGGTATGTGTAAGACCGAGCTAAACCGGGAGAATGGTATGGCAAGTACTTTCTGTGGTACTCCCGACTACATTGCACCAGAAATCATAAAAGGACAACTTTATAATGAAGCCGTTGACTTCTGGAGTTTTGGCGTTTTAATGTATGAAATGTTGATCGGACAATCACCTTTCCATGGTGATGGTGAAGATGAACTGTTCGATGCCATTTTGAATGAAAGACCCTACTTCCCAAAAAGTTTACCTAAAGAAGCGGCTAAGTGTCTGAGTGCTGTAAGTTTGATCAAGTTTTTGGAATTTTAGATTATAGTAATAAGCCTAAAGATTAAGCTTTATATGCTACCTATTAAGCCTATTATTCAGTATTTTAATGTTTAAAAAATTTTGTAAAATACGAGCGAAGTTAAATGTTAAATAAAATTCAACTAATTTTGTAAATTTCAGTTATTCGACCGTAATCCAAATACTCGGTTGGGAATGCCAGAATGCCCAGACGGTCCAATTAGAACCCACGCCTTCTTCAGAGGTGTGGACTGGAAAAAGTTCGAAGCCAGACAAGTTCAGCCACCCTACAAACCTCTTGTGGTAAGTTTACGACATAGTCAGTAATAGGCGGGTAATTTTAGTCAAGTAGACGGGTAAAAAAAGACGTTTTTTAAAATCAAGGGGGGGGAATGATTTTAACTTTTTTTAATTTTTTTTTGAAATTGTGTTGCAAGCTGTTCTCAAAACTCTCCTTAGCCGCCTCCGGCCCAAAGGCAGCTTCGGAGTTTGAGCCGAAGGCGGAGCGAGAATTTTTAAAACAGCAGGGGGGGGGGGTTGGGCTTGGAATTGAAAAAGGTTGAACGGGAGCTGGAGCCGGAGCTAAATTTTAAAAAAATTAGAGCTGGAGCTGGAACTAGGCCAGAGCTAAAATTTATAAAGAGGCATAGGGGAGCTGCAGCCGAAGCTAAAATTTTAAAAAAGCAGAGCATGGAGCTAAACTTAAAAAAAGCTTTATCCGAAGCAGGACCTGGAACGAAACTATAAAAAAAGCGTAGCCGGAACTCGAATCCTAACTAAAATTTAAAATAAGGGGAACTAAAGCCGAAGCCGCAAATTTAAAATTTAGCAACTTTAGTTATAATTACTGAAAACATAATTTATGCAAAAACCATACCTAAAATTATAAAACCCATATTTTCAGAAATCCGCCAACGACACGAGCAACTTTGACGAGGACTTCACACAGGAAAAGCCCGTTCTCACGCCGATTCAGGACAAAAACTTGTTGGCTTCCATCGATCCGGAAGCTTTCGCCGACTTTTCGTACACAAATCCCAAATTTCTATAAGATTGGTCAAGTTTTTCTTATTTTCTTCAAATTTCTATTATTTTTATCAATTTTGTGCACAGATTCGAAAGTTTTTGAGATTTTGGTTGATTTGTTATCTAAAATTTAACTTTTTGGTTAATTTGTTACCTAAAATTCAAGTTTTTGGTTAATTTGATACCTAAAATTTAAGTTTTTAGTCAATTTGTTACCTAAAATTTAAGCTTTTGGTTAATTTGATACCTAAAATTTAAGTTTTTAGTCAATTTGTTACCTAAAATTTAAGCTTTTGGTTAATTTGATTCCTAAAATTTAAGTTTTTAGTCAATTTGTTACCTAAAATTCAAAATTTTTGCCATTTCTTACCAAACTGTTCAAACCAGTCGATTCTGTGCACAAATGTCAAACTTTTAATTTTTTGGCCTCTTCCCAAATTTGCGATAACATATCTTGTCATCCGGTAATAATTTTATTGTATTCTAATCATATACAGAGAGAGAGGCTTATATTTGTAGTTGCTATAGTTTTTAGGAGTTATATTGTATTTTATCAGGTTGTTCAAATAATTATGTGCCTTTAACTCTAGAAATTTGTTTTGATAGGGGGCTCAAGATTTTTTGAACAACTTAATATATTTAGTTTACTGTAGTTATTTTTTACTGTGGTATACTGTAATTTAAGCATCATGGTATACTGTAGTTTAAACATTATGGTATACTGTAGTTTAAGAATTATAGCATACTGTAGCTTAGTACGATGCAAAAAGACTTTTGTAATGGTATGCTGTAACCAATACAAACCTTAAGCTACTGTAATCTTATTTTTAACGATAGTCAACCTTATCACCATGTATAATATAATGATTGTGTTTGTGGCTCAGTTCACTAATTACTGTGAAAGAAAACGCTTACCAAGGTTAGGTCTCACATTCGATATTTAGGTTGTTTTATACGTTTTGTTATCAATGTCGTTGTAACCGATGCTTCTGAAATTCGGGTCTGGAAATCTCTTTTTCTCGCATAATCTACAAATTCTAATAAATTTTACATTTCATCGCTTTTGGCGGATTTTTGAATATTTTTTAAATGGTCGTGATGGCTAGCAGGCAGAGTTTAATGGTAGCCATAAGGGGGGGGGGGGAAGGTATTGAACAAAAGTTTGGACTCATGTCAACAAGGAAGATGGCTGATTGACTTCCAACTTTTTATACATAAAGATCATTTGAAAATAAGATCTTCAGCAAAACACTAAATCGTGCTTTACGGTCAATCTGGAGAAAATCGAGATTAAAGATCTACATTTTTAATTTCCCGCCAAACTGGCGTAGTGTTTCAAGTTTATAACTTTGTCATTTTATGATTTTTTATTATCTTTTATCCTTATATTAGTAGAAAACTTTTAAAAAGGGCCTAAATTTTTAAATTTATAAGCCTAGCTTGTCTGGAAAGTTAAAAAAGTGCTTGAAACAGCATGCCCAATCTGCTAAATTAGCGAAAATTTCAAATATTTATATTTTAAAACTAAAAAAGGGGAGCTAAATTTTTTGTAAGTACTATTAGTGGTACAAAGAAGTTATATAAAAATTTTTAGCTGATTCTGAGTGAGGCAGGCTTTACTTTTCTTGTAAAATTATCTGTCAAACGCTTGTTAATACCTAAATAGGAAAAAAAGTATTAGGTTGGCATGTTATGGATTTCGGTTTCAAATTTCGAACCTAATATAATAAACGGTACAACTAATCACGATAGCTCTCAGTAGGTCACACATAAAAAATAGTTCAACGTAGGCATAAATTTTAACTATTATTTATTATTTACAACGAATATGACATAGGTTCAACAATCACATCAATAGCTGGACCTGCGTTAAGTCTGCCTTTTACTGGTACTTTTGGAACTATTTCTGGTTCGTATGGATCTTCATCTGAAATTAAACAAAAGTTGGTTAAGTATTAAGTCGACCTGTAAGGCGGCTGTGCCCAATTTTTCGGATTGGCCTAGTGTCCTATTGCCACCAGACGACCCAATGTTATAAAACCCTCCTCTAACTACAACACCTTAACCTACCTTTAATGTTAAGCCGCTTCTTCAGATCCGTCTGAATCTTCTTCAACTCCAGCACCTCGGTATCTTCAAACAAGTGCGTAGTAGTTCTTCTATTTTTATATTCGTTTGGGTATGATATGCATGACTTTTCGGCTAGTCTAACAATCTTCATCATGAGCCTTCGCTTGGTCAGGAAAGCCAATTCACAAGTGGCTAACAACGTGATGGTCCACATAGTGTACGTGACTACTACTACAACATGTGCATTATAAACAACATTCTTGTTGCTTGTATGCCATTGTGTTAGAGGTGATAAGCGACGTTTGGGGTACCTTTTGATATTGTTTTCTTTTCGAACAAAGCCAATTGTCATTGGGTAGGATGTTCTGAAGAGGCAGATTGAGGGGGTGTAGGCTGTCTGAAACGGTGGTGTATATTAAAATGGTAGTAAATCATAGTTATTAATAGTACTGAGAGAGTAATTTTTGTAAATAGGAAGGAGAGAGGGAGAAATAATCACAAATATCATCTCAACTTACATCAATCAACGAACTGTGATAGTAAGTACACTGATCTTCCTTATTACATTCTACTGTAATCACTTTGTCCAAGCCGTCTTTGATAAACTTCTTTATTTCGTAAGTATTTGGAGGAACATGGATAGAATGCTGTGTCATTCTGGTAAACTTGGAATCTTCCGTGTATCGTTGAATCCAATTGCCATATAAAGTGTTGTAGAAGTACAGTATCGTCTCATTATCTGTGTTTTCGACAAAAAGATTGTGATTCTTGTCTGGAAGGTCACTTAGCATTGTGGGGATGCCTTTAATACTGAAAATTTAAGCATTAAAATATAAAAAGCAATAACAACATATTATACACTTTATGCTACTATACTTATAACAACATATTATATTATAGTAGCATATAAGGTAAAATTTATATAAGAAAAAAAGTACTATCCAATACATTACCTTCAAAATAACTTACACATTACAAAAAGTCTTGTTCTCTGGACAATATATACTGAATTCTACTTTGTATAAAGTCGTTTGATGCCAAAAGTAACAAATCAACACCTTATCTGTCTCTTTTACATAACAATCTTCTAAAGTCGCGTTTGGTACGTCGAAATTTGCATCCAAATTTAAAAATTCTGATGCATATTCTGGATAAAATTTTTCGATTTCATTTGCTAGGTGTGGCAGGTCTAGTCTAAAAAGTATATCATATAACTATAATAGTAACATGTAGAATACACAGCCGATAACCTAGACTCAGTCCTTGCGTTAACCTAGAGTCTCAGCCCAGGGCAATAGCCTAGAGCTCTAGCCTAGAACCTTAGCCCAGAGTCCTAGCCCAGAGCCCTATCCCAAAGCCCTAGCCCAGAACCTTAGCCGGGAGCCTTAGCCCAAAGCCCTGGCCCAGAGCCTTAGCCCAGAGCCCAGCGCCCTAACTCAGAGCCTTAGCCCTAGAGGCACTTTCTCATCTTAAAATACATTACCATGTAAAGTAACTTACTTTGTATGTGCATATCCATTATCAAGTTTCAATAATACATGTAGATCTGTCTTATCTGTGAACGTAAGGATGTTATCAAGCCTACAAACGTTCATCCAAGAAGTTGAGTAATTTCCAATATATTCCAGACGTTCTTGAAAGTTGTCGTACTCATTTTCTGCCCATACGTATACGTAACAGTCAGGGTCAATTAGGTAACGGTATACGACGGTATCTTGATTTGAGTAGGGGCTAAAAAGTGATATTTTAATTTTTACTTTACCCTATCCTACCCTACCCTGCTTTACCCTATTTTACTCTACTTTCACTATTTCAAAATCAATTAATGACAACTTACACTGAAGAACATTGATTATATATTATCCTTTTTAGGTCAGCAGCTATAACAAACGGTATGAATAATATCAAGTAACACCAACCATTCATTATTGTAAAAAGTAAAAAAAAATGAATATAAAAGATATTCCTTTTTTAAAATTAAAATTTTTAGAAAATTTTTTAATTTTTTTTAATTTGAAAAATTTTTTTTAATTTTTTTTTTGAAATTTTTTCAATTTTTAAATTTTGAGTTTGAAAAATTCATTTATTCAGTAAAACAAGTAACAATGAGTAATGAAATGAATACCAGCATTTGGACGATACTTTTTGTAGTCTTATATGAATGTACCTGTATGTGTGTAATCTAAAAACGTGACTACTTTAAATATTCCAAAATTATCGAAAAAAGCATCTTGAGCGATTTGTTTGAAGCGAATGCCCTCAGGGAATATTTGAGAACGAATTCGTGGCAAAAAGAATAAACATTTCAAAACAATGCGGTTTTCAAAAAGTCACAAAAAACAGTTTTGAAAGCTTTTGTACTAATGTAGTACGATACTGACAAAGTGCTATATAGTGCTGTTTTGAAAATTTTTAGATATACTGTAAAGTGACGTTTTTCAAACTAGTACAGCTTAATAATACTAAACAAGTGCTATATAATACTATAAACAAAAGCATTTAGTATTGGAAACAGTTGCTATCTTGTACTATTTTGTACTGTTTTTCTTTCAAAAATAGGGTATACATAATAAGACTGATTCACAAAATTGCAAAGACCACTGTTAAGTTACGGTAAGTAGAGCTAAGACTAAAGCTCTGGACTAGAGCTAGGGCTTTGAACTATTCTCTTGGGTAGGCCTGTCGGCTAAGGCTCTGGGCTAGGGCTCTTGACTAAGGCTAGGACTTGCAGATAAGGCTCTAAGCTAAGACTCTGGGCTAAGGTTAACAAAATTTTTATCCTTTTCAAGTACAATATCAGTAAAAAACTAATAAAACTCACTTAGAAATACTGTAGAAACAGTATTATTGTAAAGTTTTGTCAAGACATTTGAAGGTTGTTAGTACTAGAACGTGACACATAGCTAGCTCTAGTTGATGTCGTTAAGCTTTCCATCTCTTCGTATGGTGGAGGTGGAACACTTGTGGGTGTTATTGTGGTACTAGTCGCTGAACGATAGCTCGGCAATAGGCCCATACTAAAAAATGAACAATTAGGTAATAAAATAGCGAAAAATACTGAAAAATTGTTAAAAATTAAAAGTTTAGGTAACAATTTTTTTAAAATTTATTTTTTTCAATTTGAATTTAAAACAAAAACTAAAATACGTATGGTTAAGTTATTTTAAACGTTAAAACCCTTACCTTGAACTAGAAACCACACTCAAAGAAGTCTGTCGTGTTCTGTTACTCCCAGGACGACAACCCATTGACCTCAAGAACAACATTACTGAGCTACGCCGTTGATGTCGCGAAAGCCACATCATTATGTCATAGTCCATTGGCCCATTAAAACTAAAGCCCGAGGGCAGACGAGCAAATCCTACTCTGAAACACGGATTGATTTATGTTGTACTATGCGTTTTACCATAATGTAAGGACAATTCAAAAATGCCACAAGGTAAAAAAATATAAAATAAAAAACAAAAAGTAAAAAATTTAGAAAAATACTTACTTTGGCTTAGTCAGCTTCATAATAATAATGGCACAGAAAACTGCTATTGATATTAGCAAAGTAATTCCAAGGAAGAAGGTGGCATGGTCTTCTGGTACTTCTGGAGGAAAGTTAAGGTATACTGGCGTTGAATACACATTTGGCAAGGGCTGCAAATACAAAAAATTAAGATCATTGTAGAATATAGATTTCAACCTAGACTTTCTTCCTCTTTTGTACTGTACCGTACTGTATTGTTCTTTACCCTTCTCTAATTTACTCTACTCTTTTTTAAAGGACCAGTTCGCCCATTCAAATATCATTGGCATTCTGTCGCAAAAAGCGTCGAAAATCAGGCAATTTCAATCAAAATCATTTTTCTCAAAAAACGTGAGTGGGTCGGTGTCGAAATGAATTTTTCAAATTGGGACCGACCTGCTCAGGTTTTTTGCGAAAAAAATGAACGTCGAATTTTTGCGACAAAATGCCAATGATATTTGAATGGGCGAACTGGTCCTTTAATGTGACGCACCTATCTTGCCCTATCTTGTCTTACCCACTCTGCTCTACCTACCAGCCTTTCAGTTTTTTTAAAAACAATGTCATATTTATAAAAAAATAATCTCAATATCCTACCTCCAGTTTCCTCGTGGCGTTGTTCATGAACTCTGTATCGCAGAAGGGCACTCTAAAAGAATTGTTACATGAAAATAAAAACGGCTTTCTTGGCCTTTGAAAAAGCTGAAATCCCGCCCCAAAAGAAGAAGATTTCCCGACATTAAATCAATCCTAATTCTCTTTACACAACAGTTTAAGGAAGTATACCAACACAAAGTGACATTACTTCTTTTTGCTCTAATTTTTGTTCTTTATACCTAAAAAATTTGAAATATTTTTTTTTCTATTTTTTAAATTTGGATAAATTTTAGACTTTTTTTGATTTTTTTGCCATTTTTAATAATACCTTATCAAAAAAATAAATAAATATTACTCAAAAAACATCAAAGACCCTCAAATGTATATAGAAGTACATAAAGTCGTCAAAGAATGTCATAAAACTGTCATAAATCCATTTCAACGAACAGATATTTATCCATGCCCACAGCTCCCAAAATTAAATGTTCTTTTTCGAGTTTGAACGGCCGTTTAAAGTGCACAAAAAGCATGTAATTATGGATTCAGAAGAAGTGAAACTAATTCCAACCGCTTCTGGCTCCACGGTGCAATAAAGAAATTGGTTTAGAGGGTTGCACTTTGAACTGCTCGTTTTACGAGTTCATTTTACGTAGATTGTTTTGCATAATTTGTAGTGAACAGTGTTTTGCCCGGACCGGTCCGGAGCTTTTTCTTCGGTCCGGGTCCGCAGGTTTTTGGGTCCGGTCCGGTCCGCAAAAATTTCTGCTTCGGTCCGGTCCGGACCGGACCGGACCCGTCCGCGGACCGGACCGGTCCGGCAAAACACTGGTAGAGAAAGTAAGTTTGGTTTAGTAGGTTTTATATAGTAGGCTAGAGATTTGAAAAAGTTATTGGAATAGTTGTAACTAACAAGACAAGCAACCGGCCCCACTCTGACTGACTTCAAATTTTTTATACCGAAAGATCATGTAAATATAAGATCTTTAGCAAATTACTAAATCACGCTTTCCAGTATACCTCGAGAAAGTCAAAATCAAAAAATTACGTTTTGAATTTTCCGCCAAATTAGCATTATGTTTCTAGTTTAAAAAGTTGTAATTTTTTAACTTTTAATTATTTTTTCTCAAGGTATTTTTAAAAAACTCTTAAACAAGCCTAAATTTTTTTATTTGTAAGCCTAGCTTCTCTAAAAGTTCAAAAAAGTGCTTGAAACACAATGCCAAATATTGCGCAAAATTCAAAAATTTAAAATTGAAAACTTAAAACTCAAAACTGCTAGCTAAAATTTTTATGTGTACTATTAGTAGCGCAAAGAATTTATTATATAAAAACTTTGAGCTGATAGGTTATTCACATAATTCTGTGCTCTTAATCCTAAAAATTTGCTTTGAGAGGAGGCACAGAATTATTTGAACAATTTCATGAATATAATGTAAGCATAGTATGACAAAAAAAATAAAACAAACTTTTTGACTTTTAAAAAAACTTTATAAAAAACGAATACACTTTTATTTACAGACGAATAAACTCAACTAAATTTTAAATTTTATATTATTTCATTGAGTCATACATAGACCGAGGTCTGGGCTGTTAGGAGGAGGAAGGTCAGAAAATATTTTTTTAATTTTTATTCAACCCGTGAAGACTATTAAATGTTTCAAATAATTCTGTGCTTTCTAACGCCAAAAACTTGCTTTGAAAAGGGACACAGATTCATTTGGACAACCTAATAGTTTAAAAAAGTGTGATTGAGATTAAGATACGAAGCTACAACAGGATGTTTGCTATATCAACTGTTTTTATAGCCTAACTCTTTGTCATTCAATTACCAGACGTGGCTCTGTAAAAGACAGATAATGTGTCTGACACATGGCAACAATAAACTTACTTGTTTGTGTCATTTAGCAGTTTAACGAAATGACAACATGCTAGCCGGCTGAGAGCGCCAGACCGCTGACACAAATGCATTATTCTGGAATTGAAATAACTTTAGGATTTTTTTAATTTTAAAATAATTTTAAAAAGCATTTTCGCTTTTTACAAACATTTTTACGTTCAAAAACGACAATATTTTTTTTAATTCGAAGTTCAGAATTGTAAATTACGCCTGTATGAAATTGTCTAGAAAAATTATTTAAAAAATTTTAACAATGTTTAAAAAATAGTGACAACTTCACGTCACGTTAACCCAAGAAATATTTTGTAAGCAATATACAAACATATGAAGGGGAAATGGTTTGTCTCTTGAATCCCGACTTCTTTTGAAGCCCACCGAATGCCCCAAGGACTCGACATAAAAGTCGATCGGATCCGTCGTACTCGCCTCAAAAGTGTCATGAACAAAGGGAAAGTCAATGCAACTGTTCCAAAAACATTTATATTAACTTTGGAAGATGTATTAGATCGTTCAAATAGAATTTATTCGGTTATTCAAATAATTCTGTGCTCCCCCCCCTCAAAACTAAACAGTTAGATGGAATTACTTGAACAGTTTAATACATGCATATATACACACATATAATGCTATTTTTCATTCTACGTCAACTTATCGTATATACATTCTATTCCACGTCAACTTAAAGACATTCACAAGATGAATTGCCGCTATGTAATCGCGTTTTTACGCAAATTTGCCACCGTTTCGGGCCGCGAAAGCGGTTTTATTCAATGGATTGGAAGAAAAATGACACTGTTTTTCGAATTGGGGTCATGTAATTGGACACAACTTGTTAAATCCGGTGTAAGAAGGCCGTGATTGTAAACAAAACACTTGAATGAATAAGAATGAGCTAATGCAAGCTAAATCTGCATCTTTAATTAGGCTGCAAATGCAAAAATAACATTTTTTGGGTAATGAAAGTTGGAATTTTAAAAAACAACTTGAAAAATCTTTTAAACTACATTTTTAGATCTTTTATAGCTGTTAATAAAGTTTTAATAACACCTTGAAAATAATTTTAACGGGATTTGCGTCAAAAACAATATTGTAGTGAAAAATTAATGAAAACCCCATTAAAGTACTTAAATTAGCCTATTTTATATATTTTTACAAACTAAAAGATTATATACTCCTATTTTACGAAACAATTTTCAATTTAATCTTTTAAACCCCGATAGTCCCCTCACTTGGCACTTGTGGCATTCCGTCGCAGGCGAAATTCCCATTTTTCTTTTATTTTTTCTTGCCTTCGACCGAATTTTGTTCAAAATGAGTGCAAAAGCAGCTGCTACAGTTGCCACTGTACCATTTACAGTCCCAAAGCAGATCAAGGTATGTTTTTATTTATTTTTTAAGTTTAGACATCAACTGGACATCTGTAATTATCAATTTTTCAACGTTTTAGAGGTCAAAAACAGCGGTTCTGAAAGCTTTGTCTTCAACTGTCGGAACTGACACGACAGCGCCGCATTATCAGTTCATCGATGATCCATTAACAATTCCATCATCTAACTTCGCCAAAAGAAATTACTTCTTGGCCAAGGAGTTTGGAAAAAGAGCAGCCAAACAGCTGGCCAAAGAATGGCCGACTTTGTTCATGTTCGACAGAGATGAGCCTCGACTACCAGTGTTCAGACCTGAGAATATACCTGCTCTAATTGATACTGAAGAGCCTAGTGAGAAGTTGTTAGCCAATTTGATTGAGGAGAAACAGGTTGCTGGAGCTTTGAAGGTGAGATTTATTAGGATTTAGTTGTTTTAGGTTATGTGAATGGCAAAGAAATGGTTTTTTTTAAATTGAGAAACTTTGTATTTGTAGGTATATGAGAAGATTAGAGCAGCTAAAGTTGATGTGTCTGGTGAGGTATTAGATAAATTGTTCAAGTTATCAGCTTATTACAATGGGCAAGATCCTCCAATCAGTGAAGAAACGGAATGGCCTGGAATTCGCAATTACTTTGAAGATGTAGATTCGAAGTGGGAACATGTACGTTTTTTCTTTATTTTTTTTTGTATTTAGGTAATAACGAATGAAAATTACTTTTCAAAAAATTAAGTAGAACAATAAAATGTCTTAAAACGTCTAAAACAACATAAATTTCTTTGTAACTGCTATTATTTATAAAAGAAGCTCAATTATAAGTTTATTCGTTTTAGAATGGCCCAACAGAGCTCCTGTTCCAATCAGTTGAACACAATGCTGAGAATTATTCGATATTAATCGCATCCAAGGCTAAATATGGTGATATTGCAGCAAGAGAGCAAGCTTATAAGCATCTGCAAGAAATGGAGAAGAAGGAGTTAGTTTCAGAAGAATATGTGTTTTATACCTTGTTGAGAAATGAGCAGAATCCAAAGAAAGCCGATGAGATTTTACAAAGAATGGCTAAAGCAAATGTTAAACCCTCTATCAGGACTATCAATGCTTATATTATGTGTGTTAATAAGGTAAGGGGCATTATACTAAAGTTTATTCTCGTCTTTAATTTGTTTACAAGCCTCGTTAATACAAAGCATAGTTTTTACTAATATTAATGTATTTTAGATAGTGAAATTTGAAGAAAAATGGAAGAAGGTAAAGCAGGCGTTGGCTGAAGCCAATAGGTTACGATTGGTGCCGAGTTTGACAACGTATGATCTGGTTTTGGGTGGTTTGAGGTCGCAAAGACCTCAAGAGGGACAACCACCAGCTCAGCAACAAGATCCAGTAAGTTTTTGTTACATCGTTTTGCATATTTTGATTTGTAAGAGGCCTAGGATTGATGTTTTAGGCCAAAAATGACATCATTTTGAAGTTTTTTAAGTTGCTATTAACGTAGTCTTAAAGTTCTTTAAAGAAAATGTTACTGCAGGTACTAGCAGTCACAGCCTTGAACGAAATCCTGGACATCCTAGAAGCCTCATCCACGATTGTACCGGTCGATAATACAGACCAAAGCTTCTTCGTAACCGCCATGACAATCGCTACCACAGCCAACAATTCGGATTTGGTGGATCGAATTGAAAATCTGTACAAAACTGATAAGAACACAGTAAAGCTGACTGCATTCACAGTTGAAGCCGTTTACTACAGTAAATATTTGAATTTCAAGATCTTCAATCAACTGTCTGATCTGAATGAGATTTACGACTTGTACACGGCATTGGTGCCGAGGGTGGTTGGTGTTAGCCGGATTATTATCAAAAATATCTTGTACAAGCTTACTGTAAGTGGTTAATGTTGTTTTAAGTTAAATTACTAAAGCTTTCTGTAAATCAAGGCTGATTTTGCTTTTTTTATAAAATTTGTTACCTAAAAATTCCTTGTTTCAGCCCGATAACACACCGTGGCCATTGTTAAAGAGAGTCATCGAAGATGGAATTGCTGGACGTCAAATTGTGGACACAGAGCTTGGGCGTTTGTTCTTGAAAAACTTGGCTAATGTTGATGTTAATGTAGGTTTTATATTTAAAAAAATTTTTTTGTTATATTTATTTTGTTCTTCTTGAATTAAAGAGTAATTTATAGGACAAGTCAGTTTCGAAAAATTTTAAAATAAAACTTTTGAGTTACTTGAAGATACAATTTTTGTTAAATTTTAAACTTTCAGAGCCTTGACCTTCGGCAACTGGAGCAATTCCGCAACCTAATCACCCGGATCAACGATATCTGGCAAGAGCTAGCCAACTTCACCGACGAACGCCTCAAACATCGCCAAATCAAACTTCGACCATCAATGGCCCTGCAGCTAGCCAATTTGTTCCTAAAAGTTGGTGAAACTAGAAAAGCCTTTGTTATAATATCACTAATCACCGAAGCTGATCCAGAAGTTTTGAATCTAGAAGATCGACCACATTTGGAGACACTCTTAAGCTTGTTCGATGCCACAATCGAGACCAATGATGTTACTCAAACTGCCAATGTTCTGGAGTTGGTATGTCGTTACTACAAGGATGGGCCATTAGAACAGTTGGCAGAGAAGATCAACGGAAAGTTTGTGTTGAATGCCACACAGAAGAGGGTTATCACCAACTTTGTTAAACTTAGGAATGTTTAAAGTTACTGTTTTTTGTTATCTTAGGTCATTTGTTGATATTAAATTTAAAAAAAGTTGAGAATTTAGGGAATTTTTAAGGGTAATAGTTTTGGCTAGATGATGGTAAAAAACCATGTGTTTTATTGTTAGAGGCAAAGAAAAAAACTATAATGTTGAGGTAGGCAACAAAAACAAGAGAATAACTGGGTCTTTCAAATAATTCTGTGTTACCTTTCAAAGCAAATTTTTGAAGTTAGAGGATACAGAATTATTTGAACAGCCTAATATAAGCTATATTGCTATAAATGGTCTCATATTCTACTATAATATCACAATTTATACTAATTTTTGTCGGAAAGTTTTGATTTAATGATGCTAAAAGAGCTTTTTATAAATTTACTTATGGAATGCCATAAAATTTACAATAACTATCGACTGACATTGAGTTGTGTAGCTTTGTAAGTCGATTGGACAAGTCTTACCATTAAAAACGCGGTGAATTTTACGTAGAAGCTTCTTATAAATTGGCATACGTTCGGTTTGAGCGCGACGAAAATGTTTTTTATATTGACGCATCACTGATGAGGAGTAGGAGCATCCAAAATATGATAATTTAATGGTATAGTAGGTTTATATTGGGTTTAAAATGGAGTTCTGAGTATGCTTGAAGGTGGTTGAATATACAGTCAAACCTTTTTACTATGACACTCAAGGGACTATTCCAACCTTTAACTTATAACCAGTGTATCACATTACCCAAATATTTTTTGATAGAGGTTCTATACTACTACGAAGGGTTGTCAAAAAGCTGTCATTATAAACATGTTTTCACACTTTTGAAGGTCATACTAATAAGGTTTCACTGTATGAAACAACGTCTTCTTTCTCATATGAAAATGTTTTTTTTATCGTAAAAAGGTGACTTACATTGCCGGCTTGTAGTACGCGAAGCCACCAAGTTCTTGTTCTTCTATCACCTTGTTCACATTACTCTCCATTCATTTAGTTATCTATAATTTTAAACTTCGATAAGAATTTATAAGGAAGAAAAAATAGAAATAACAATCCGAAATGTCAAAAACGCCCGCATATGTTAACATAACATCAGAGCGTCGAATGTGAAAGGGGATGTGTGGAACTGAATAAGCAAAAATTGAATTATCCCAAAACAAATTGTTATCCAGAAGTCGAAGAAGCGACGTTCCACAGTAATGTTTTGTTAGGATTTTTTGACTTTTTATTTAGATATCAGAGTGCATAAAGGTCTTGTCGTCAATTTATATTGACTTTAAGTTGCAAACACGACAGGACTTTTTAACATTAATAACTAGGGTTACCCGGCTCTTTCTAACCCTATCTATAAAGTTAACCAACTCTTCCTTACCCCACCAATAAGATTTGACAAAACAATATGATATAATTTATTAAGTATGAGGTATCGAATATAATATGGCAGTTCAGACCAGTTTGGGCATCTTGTCATGAATGACAATGTTCATGTTGGTTTTTAGTCTCTACAGCCTCGTAGATAACATGGCACGTGAGTGTTTGTTGGCATAATAATACTTTTTCATCTCGGCTTCGAACAAGCTTTTGTCTTTTTGCATGGTGTATATCACGTCCTGAAGAGTATGATGGTGAAATGTCATTTTTAAGTTTTTTACGTTTAGGGAGTGGTACGGTTTGTTTAAACAGGGATATGGAGGGGCTAACCCGTCTACCTTCACTATCTCACCTAGACTTCTAAAGGGCCAAGCCCAATTTTTCAGCTCGTTATGGACCAAGTAGACCCTTTGCTAAAATTGTTTTACCTTTTTTTATTTTTTAGTCCAAACCGGTCCAGTCCAAGAATAAAATTTCTGGACCGGACTGATACTTTAGGTCTAGCCACACCTTTAGAATTTTTTAAAGTTAGATTCCCCTCCCAAGATTAAAATCTTCAGCCCAACTCAAACACTTTAGTGTTATGGGTTTCAGCCCAACCCATAACACTAAAACAAGACAGAATTCCATCAGTTACCTGAAGAAGTTCGTCAACATTCCCATCTTCCACCTTCCATCCGATCATTTTCCTCACTTGACTCGGCTTCCTTCTCAACTTCTTGGCGTCTTCTATCGTGTGACAAAAGTATTTTAGAAGAATTTCAACTGGCTTCAAACTGTCATCAATTTTATTCACTCCTTTTAGTTCTACTGTACATCTGAAATGGCAGAATTTTGAATATTACTATATGTATTTTTAAAAAATAAATACATAGAAACTTCGAGGTAAAAGAAGCCGTAAAATTTGAGTTACATGTGGTTTCCTCAGAAACTTTCCAGTCGTTTTAAAGGTAAAAATATTATTACAGTGAAACCTCTTTAGTATGACCGTCGATATTATAGCACCTTCTTTATAATAACACATTTCTAACCGCCACTTACACATTATTTATATTGCAATCAAAGTAGTACTTTTGATGTGAACCAAATAATAGATTGTGTTGTAAAGTGATGGCCAGCAGCTTCTTCCATAACTAAAAAAATAAAAATGAATACTTATTTGTATATTTCGTATTTTACAAGCTATTTACAACTCTTATTTGAGCAGAGCCGTTGTGAGTTTTCCAAAGAAAAGGAGAAATAAACTAAAATTAAAATTTTTTTTCCATGATCGAGATATAGAAACACGTTCAACTTTTTAAAAAAAATTTTTTAAATAAGTATTTCTTCGTTATCACGTAACAATGCCTAACACGTTCCTCTCTCTCATCCAAGATCATGACCTCCCCACAATTTGTTTTTTTTATCACCCCACCCTCACCCTCTTAACCTTACCCCTTCCCCAATTTTCTTTCAGATTTCATTTCCTTCTAGTTAAGCAAAAACACTTTATTCTTGATCAAGCCTTGTAAAACACTAGCACTAAAACACAAATGCAGTAAAACCTCTTTAGTATGACCCTCAATAGTGTGACACGCTATAATGATATCTTCTTGACGCTCTTTCTAATAGAACTCCTAGCAAAAATCCCTGGGTATTGTGACATTGCTTATAACGACAGTTTTAGACCAGTTTCTTGAGTGACATACTAAAGAGGTTCATACTAAGAGACAATAAGCACCACACGCAGTACGATACAGATAAAGAGAGTACAAAACATGTAAACCATCTAAAGTAAAATATCAATCTTACCTTGTTAGGCCGCCTAGTAATTTCCTTCCTTTCCATTACTTGCCAAAACAAAATGAAACTAAACTTCCACCAGAATAGCCCCAATGTATATATATTGTAATAAGCGGGTGTTGGAAACGTTTCCCAACCCCACCAACCGTTTCAAACCGCCACCCCAATTTACAGCGGTTTTATACAATTTTATATAAAAGTAGCGGAAGGTAGTTAATTAGTAGTGGAAGCGAGTTATTGTAACAAACATTCAAAACTTTGCGAAAACATTACTCAAATTGTTGCGTATATAAACGGGATGATGAGCGATGACTATATTGATATAAGTAATGGCTATATTAATATAAGTCGTGGTTATGTTAAGATGAGTAATTACTGTAATAAGATCAGAAGATGTAGAAAGACAATTTTTCGATATTATACGAAAAATACTGTTTTACATGACAAAACACAGTTGATAGACCGATTAATCAAAAATAATATGGGGTCGGTAATGGGTGAAGGTCACACTGTTTCAGGAATGTTTGTGGATTGACGTCAAACCAATTTTGTTCGGTAAAACAGTTAATAGTAGTATGTTAAAAACATATGTAATCCAAAAATCTGCAAATTAAAAAAGCTATGGTCTTTGATATTATTCTACGGTAGGTACCAGCACGTGAAAAAACGAAAAAAAAATCCAAAAAAAATTTTTTTTGTCAATATAACTATTCCTTTCAAAATTTTACACTTTTAAAAATAAAAAAGTAGGATCCATAGATACACCCCTCCTTTCAATGCCAAAACTTCACAAAGTCGTTTTTATTAATCATCACTTATTAAAAGTTAAACTACAGCACTGTAAAAGTTAAAAATCACATCAAAGTCTAAAGAAACGAACTGACAAAAGGTATTATAACAATGTACAATATAAGGGTTAACAAAAAGTATTAGCTTACAATATAAAAAACAAGTTATTAATCTCTAATCCGACGATAACTAATGAACGAGACCTTGTTGTTGTTATTCTGCGGTAGCCTGTAGTTCACCATGGTGTATTTCCCTTTCCTTTCACTCATCACTCCACTCAAACAATGCAAAACACGTTTATATAGAGGTACTTTGGCATGTTCCACCTTCTCGACGTACTTGTTGTAGATGCGGATTATTGTGGATGAATAGTACTCGCTGTCGTCGTTAGGGCTAAATAAATAAAAGTTTAGCTCAATGTTAAAACCAATGAACAACTCAAAAAGAATTTACAAAACAAATTGTTTTATAGTTAACTAAAAAAATCACTAAAAATAATACACAAGTAGGCACACGGTAAAATTACTGGAATTTTAAAACAAAAGCGAACTTTAAAACATTCTTTTGGAGTTAGCCACCCAGCTTATCAACCTAAAAACTCTCAAATTTTCAACCTTCTAACTCTCTGTCGAAGAAAGTTACAACAAAAATTAGGATGTTCACAATACTTGATGGTTAACATCCGAAAATCCCCCAAAAACACTATTTTTAACTAAAGAATTAATTGGATTCTCAACCGAAAGAAAAGTTACCACAAAGTCGTGTAAAAACTTACCCTTTCTTCGAGAAGACCAAGCTAGATTCATTGGTTCTGTTATGTTCTCCAGGAGATCGGCCAAAATAAGAAGTTGGCGTGTAATCAGCCTTTGTCGCAAATGAAGTTGAAGGACTGTGCTTGTATGGAGTTGACTGTTCGAAGCTGTCAATATGCGTCATGATTTCTAAACCAAACAAGATCAAAAACATTGTTTAAACTTACATTTTTGAGTTAGAAGTTCAGAGATGAGTGTAAAAGGGTTTGTGGCCTGAAAAGACGAAAATATCATATTATATAATATATTATAGTCGATCTACGTCATTTTCATGCAAACAATAGTAAAAAAGAAGCTAACGTAAAATGAGAAGCTAAATTTGTAAAGAAACCCGAAAAAAGGAAACAAATTCACACAATTTCCCAGATTTCTGCAACAAAAACCCAAAATATTGGGGATGACGGATTTTTTGGAAATTCTAGAAAATGTGTTATCGTGACACAAATCTTGATAAAAATGCATTGAAATTGTAAAATACGCTTTTAGAATATGTAATTGTTTTATAAAAGTCAAAAATTAACTTGCATATTTATTTTTTCTAAAATAGGCTATTTATGTTGTCATAGACATCAAATACACGTCAACTCTTAAAATTAGGTAATATTCTCCTTCAATTCAAACAAAAACTTAACAAACAAGTTGACAAAACTTCAATGTGATCAAATTCTGCATCTAACCTTATCAAGGCTGCAAAAAACGACTAACCAAACATTGTTAACAGTTCCCGAAGACGTCGTGATGGATTACATCCGTTCGTCGGCGAAATTGATGTGCGGCTTTGTGAAATTCATAAAAACTTGTTCGAAATGTTTTTAAAACAACATTAATTAGCGGATTCGACTTGTTTAACGTGAAAGGTGCATTTTAGTGCCTAAAATGGAAAATAACTACAATATAATTGATGGTGTGTTTTTCGCTTTATTCTCTGTTGAATTTTATTTTAGGCTTAAATCTAAGATTTTAAGGTTAATAAATGTTGGTTTCCCTAAACTTTTTGATCTCAATACATTTGCTTTTATCAAAAATGGCATCCGACTTTACATAAGTTACTGTTTATTATGTGAAAGTCGAAGTTTATTGTCTAAACTTCCGATTTTTTTTGTCTGAAAGTTACTGTTTACAGTCCGAATGTAACTGTTTACGTTGTTGTGTACAAATCTTCTTGCAGACGTAATAAATTGTCATTTTATGACTATTTACTATAACAACATACCATGAAGATCAAATTCTGTTGTCTTACCTGTAAACAGAGTAAAACTTACAGTTTATGTCTAGCTGTCTACGTTTCTTTGTACATTTTAAAATTTTATGTGTCTGGCTATACAGTAACTTTGTTTACAATGTTTTTGAATTGAAAACGCCATGAAATCCAGTAAAATAATTTTTTTTAATATTTTTAGTATAAAAAATGAAAAAAATGAAAAAATACTTCTACGAACTTATTGACCATACATCTAGGAACTTATTGTCCAATAAAAAGCTGAATTTTGAAATATTATCTAAAGTAATATCATTGAACTTTTAAAGTAAATAATCAAGTTAAAAATAAAAAGTATGACGAGATATCCAGCAGACAACAACAAAAGTTACTTTTTATGTTTCTTTCTCTTCACAACTCAAAATGCTCAAGTTCAATCGTAAAGTTTGAAAAAACTATGAAATTGACAAGTTGCCAAGTGTAATGTGATTAAAACTCCAAATAAGGGAACATTACAGTTTAAAACAACCTTTTTGGAAATTTTATTATGATTGAGTTGTTGATGATATTATTATTATTATGATAGAGGTGTTGGTGTGATATTATCATTATTATACTTCTACCATTCAACTTTTTTAGTATGTACATGTTACTTACAAGGAATGTGCTCAACTTGCTCCGCTCTGATTGATTTCAAATTTTTATAAAGAAAGATCATGTAAATGTACATCCTTCAGAAAAGTACTGTATGTACTATTAGTGGTATTAAGAATTTATATACAATGTATAAACTTTAAGCTGTTTCTGAGCGCAACATGTACTTTCCTTGTCAGTTTGGAAGGAAAATTGATAAATACTCAAAGGTCAATAGGTTCAATTTCAAAAAACTTTCAGATCAAACACTTGTAAGTTTTTTAATTTTATTTCTAATTTCTTTTTATTTGTTTAATTATAGGAACAAACAGTAAGAACGTTTTTCTTTTTTTTTCAATTTCAATCATTCATTCCAGACGGTTTTGATTAGAAATCATCAAAGTTGTGTTTTTTGGTTTTTTTTTAATTTTTAAAAATCAATTTTTTAATAACGCTTCCCTAACCCAGAGCAAAGAGCACTAGCTGAGAGCCCTAGTCGAGTGCCCTAGCCCAGTGCACTTAGCCCAGTGCCCTAGCCCAGAGTCCTAGTCCAGAGCTCTAGCACAGAGCCTTAGCCCAAAGCCCTAGTCTAAAGCCCTAGCTCAGACCCTAGCCCAGAGCTCTATCTCACACCCCTAGCCCAGAGCCCTAGCCCAGAGCCCTAGCCCAGAGCCCTAACCCAGAGCCCTAGCCCAGAGCCCTAGCCCAAAGCCCTAGCCCAGAGCCCTAGGCCAGAGCCCAAGCCTTACACTACCTTACATTACTTTTAAACTTTAAAGTAAAAGCTATTTCTGTCTACAGTAACAGTAGAACAATTCGAGGTCAAACCAGTTATGTTTACCATCAAATGCTTGTTTATTTTTCATTGCGCAATAAACAAAATTTGAATTTTATTTGAAGTGGACGTTTTTCGATCGAATTTCGATTGGAAACAAACAAATTACAAATTCTGAGCATTTTAATTGTACTTGATGTGTGTTTTTAGTAGGCTATTTTGGAAGTGTTCAAGATTTTGTAAAAAACTACTTTAAATTTTTACCGAACAGGTGTTAAAAATAGAATTTCTGTTTTTTTTTAAATTTGAAATATATTAAAATATGTTTGGTACTATCAAGGTGATCACACTAGTAAGCTTAAGGTCATTTTTACAATTTTAAGTGTGGTACTATGGCGTAGTACAGTAAGGTACTATTTTTAAGTAATACATACAACATTTTTTAATTTTTAGAGTTAATACTACATAGCACTAAAAAATTTTTTTTAATTACGAGCTTTTAGTACTATTTAGTACCACCAAAACCACATTCGATAATTTTTAGGTATCAGTACTACTCTTATAAATAAATAAAATTTTAAACTTCTTTAAAATTTTGTTGCAAGCCGTACCTTGCAGTACGTGATATGTTACAATTCATGGTGTGCATGTTGAAGCTAAGACCGATACACAGTACTAAATAAAACAAAAACGCATTATGATGACGAAAGAACTAATAAAGACAGTGCTACATCAAGAAATTCAGTACAAGTCTTACTACAGCAAAATCTCTTTAATATGACGCTCGACAGTGTGACACTCTTTTATAATGACAGTTTTCTGCCGCTCTTTGTAATAGAATTTTTATCAAAAAAGTACCTGAGTATTGTGCCACCATGATTATTATAAGAACAAATTTGGGATCAGCCCCTTGACTGTCATACTAAAGAGGTTTGGCTGTATATTCAACTGAAATTTTGCACAACAAATTATTGTTGATATTTAATCCACTAACAGACCAATTACATCGCAACAATAACCACACTACATTCTTTTCTTCACCAGTCGTCTTACTCCACTTTACGTAAACAAAATCACTTAAATTTTACAAAAAAAGAAAGAATTTTGGTCATGAACAAGAGCTTAGAAAGTAAAATCGCCCACTTCTTACTACTGTTCGGGAATTTGTATAATTGCTCGCCAGAGTTTCAGTGTTTTGTTTATTTTAGAGGCAATTAAACCTCAAGGACATCAGCGTCTTCAAGAAGGTCAGAACACAACAAAAAATATGAAAAAAGACTAGGCAGTGGGAATGTTCTCCACTAATCAGGAGAATGAAGAGTAAATATAATAATATACAAAGAATAAAGAGAAAGTAATATACAAACTATAGTAAGACAAACAGTACAAATTTCAAAATTAAAAAAAAATTTAACAAAATTAAAAAAAAATAATAACTTATACAAAATTCATGACTAAATTTTTTAAATTTGAAACTTCTGATTAAGGCTCCAGCCCCAACTTCAAATGCCTTTAGTACTAAAACTCAACGCTTTCTGGTTCAAGTTCCATATTCAGCTCAACCGTTTTTTAAACTTCATATTCAGCTCCGCAGGTCTTTAGTACTGAAAACCCACATTCTCTGGCTCACGGTGTAGCTCCAGCTCCGTCGTAACCTTTTTATTAATTCTTGATCCGGCTGCAGTTCTATGGCCAAAAATGTTCCTAGCTAAAACCGGCACCGAAACCCTTATAGACTCTGTTCATGACCATACTGATAAGAGTGACTACATGTTTAGAGGGGTCTTATAGACAATTTTTGTTCTGACAAAGAAGTTTTGAAAAATAAAAGATTTGGCTAGCTAGAGCACTTTTTGCAAAAACCGCTTTTAAATGATTTTTTTTTCATCAGTTATGATTCTTGCTCAATATTTTTATGCAATTTCATAATATTTTTTAAATTCAACAAGGGGTACCAATTTCAATAGTTTTCAAAAAGTTTTTTCAGGAATCCTTTCAATATTTTGCAAAAGATAATCATCTTAAACGTACTATAGTTTGCAGTATTTAGACTTAAAAGAAGGCCCATATGGCCCGGCCTCGGCCCAACCAGACTCCGGGCCGGATCGAAGCCGATTTGAAAAGGGGATGGGCCGAGTCTAAACACGTCGGCTCAAGAGTCAGGGTTTAAACTGAGGCCACTTCAAAGGATTATTAAAAAAGTATAATACATAGTACGTACTATAAAGTCTTTTACGGTTTTTTTTCATTTTAACTAAAAATAATTCTTGAAAATTGTAAATCTTAAAAATTTTTAAACTTAAAACCAATATCTAAAAATAAATTTTGATAGAACCTCTAGTAATTTATTCATTGTTGCAAAAGAATACCGTTTTGTCATCGCATTATTAACCTTTTTTTGTTTTGTGAATTTTGTAAAAAGTAGGCGAGGCCAAAGACCGGTTTCCCCCATGGCACGGTAGCGAGAGGGAACATAAAGAAAGGGACGTTTACAGAAATTTCTGTAACCTTTGCCTCCTTCTCTCCACCCATCGAGGTCGCCTTTTTAAACAAGTCATCCACAGCTCAGCCTCCAACAGTTCCATCAGAATGAAACTTGGTCTGGTTCTCTTTGCCCTGCTTTTGGCCGGCGTTAATGCCAAATACCGTGAGTTTGAATTGTTTTGGCAAAATTTAACTTTTTTAAATTTCAATTTTCTTTTTTAAATTTTGAAAAAAAATAAAAATTTTGAAGTTTTTTTGTTACCTAAAAAATATTTTTTTTTTCAATTTTTATACCTTCTAGTCTTCAAACGGGACAACAGCTACGGAGATGAAGCTGCTCCAGCAATAGCCGCCGCCGAATCCGCCCCAGCACCAGCTCAAAGCTATCAAGCCGCCCCTGAAGCCGCTCCAGCAGCCGTAGAACAACCAGCCGCCGCTCCAGCTCCAGTCGCTTCTTCTGGCTACAGAAAAAAGAGATCCAACTCATATGGAGATGAGCCAGCACCAGCTGTAGCTGCTGCTGAATCTGCCCCAGCCCCATCGTCAAGCTACCAATCCGCTCCCGAAGCTGCCCCAGCTGCTGTTGAACAACCAGCCGCCGCTCCAGCTCCAGTAGCCAGCTCCGGATACAGAAAAAAGCGAGACAACTCGTACGGTGATGAAGCTGCTCCAGCCGTAGCCGCCGCCGAATCTGCCCCAGCCGCATCTCCAAGCTACCAAGCCGCCCCAGAAGCGGCGCCAGCTGCCGTTGAGCAACCAGCCGCTGCCCCAGCTCCAGTTGCCTCATCTGGCTACAGGAAGAAGCGTGACAACTCGTACGGTGATGAAGCCGTAACACCAGCTCCAGCTGCTGCCCCAGAAGCCGCCCCAGCCCCAGAATCCGCTCCAGCCGCCGTTGAACAACCAGCCGCTGCTCCAGCCCCTGTCTCTAGCTCTGGCTACAGAAAGAAGCGTGACAATTCTTATGGTGACGAAGCTGCTCCAGCAGTAGCCGCCGCAGAATCCGCCCCAGCCCCAGCTCAAAGCTACCAAGCCGCCCCTGAAGCCGCTCCAGCTGCCGTAGAACAACCAGCCGCTGCTCCAGCCCCAGTAGCTTCATCTGGCTACAGAAAGAAGAGATCAAACAATTCTTATGGTGATGAAGCTGCTCCAGCTGTAGCCGCAGCTGAGTCTGCCCCAGCCCCATCATCCAGCTACCAAGCTGCGCCTGAAGCGGCGCCAGCTGCCGTAGAGCAACCAGCCGCTGCTCCAGCTCCAGTCGCGTCGTCGGGATACTAAATGAAGTCGCAGTTTTACTTTTCGAATAAGAATCTCATTGTTTGCATACTGCCTTTGTACGGTGAAATAAAGTGTTTGATTTTTTTGTTATAGACCGAAATTTTTTTTTAATTTAAAATTTTTGTTATAAAACTTTTTAGAAAAAGTTGAAGTTACACTGGTATTTTGAAAAAGCTTTCAAAATGCCAACCCGATGTCAACAGGTTAAACCACGTGATCAAGTTTAAAACGACAGAGCAATCTTGTTGCAGTAAAAGCTAGGTGTAGACAAACTTCAAATTTTGTAGTAGACCTTGATGTCACCTCCTCGACTTTTTTTTAACCAAGCCATGTCGCCACCTCACTGCTAGTAACCGACCCATGTCATCATCTCAACTTTTTCCATTCAAGTCATGTCATCACCTCACCCCATTTAGCCGAGCTGTGTCATCATCTCACCCTTGTAGCCGAGGCATTTCATCACCTCACCCCCTGTAGCCGAGCCCTGTCATCACCTCGGCTTCTTATAGCCAAAACACGAGAGGTCATTCCTAATGAGCTTACCCGGTTTTGGGTCCGGTTTGAGCCGTTCAAGCACATGACCACGTCGTTGTCCTTTTCGTCTCTGTTTACCTACACCAGCCAAACACGAAGATGGGGGGTGCGAGCGCGCGACGATGGTCATTCACGACCATTGGGGGGCGGTGTCGCGGCGACGAGGACGTATTTGAAGCCGCGATGGCCACGACCACCGTTCATTAGAATTCGGTTCCTTATATTGAAGATGCTCAAGTGGCTGACAGTTGTTTTCGTCCTCCTTCAGCTGGTTTACGGTAGGTTTTGGGGGCTTACGAATGGGTTTGGACAACAATTTCGCATTTTTTCAAATTTCGAAATAAACTTGTTTACTGATTTTGAAATTGACTTGTAATAATAATAGGATTGGAGATGGTTTTTCTGACTAACTTTTATAAAAGACTGTACGCTTTATACCTTTACTAGTACTATTAAAGTATGCTGCTTAGTAGTACCATGTATAGTCTATACTAAACTACATATAGCTTGTAGTGAACCACTTAACATAGGTTACTTTTGCTTATAGTATCATACATAACTTTTGTACTATCATATTATCAACATTATAATATGTAGCGTAGGATAGGATAAAGTAAAGTAAAGTAAAGTAAGGAAAGGTACAGTAGGGTAAAGTAAATTAAAATACATAGGCCTATACCAAATTAAAGTAATCCGAACTTTTCTAGGCCAATTTGATAAGAACAGAGCAGTTGGACCATGTATCAACGGGAAATGCCCTGAAGGCCATGTATGTCATGATGAGGAATGTTACCCAAACGTTCAAAACGATGAACCCTTTGACAACATGTATGACAGTGATGTAAAAACAAGTAGGCTTTAAAGAAAACTACATTACATAACAGTGCTTTCATTTCTCATAGAGCCATGAACTTTTAATTTATAAGCTTTTCATGCCTTTTCGTACAATACATTTAAACCTATTTAACCCTACATCTACAGCACATATTTTTGAAAATTCAAAATTTTAAAAATCCTAAATAATAGTTGTGTCAAAATATAAAAAACGCAATATGACAATTGTAGGAACCTCAATTGGACCATGCGTGAATGATTTGTGCCCCGCTGGCTATGACTGTATTGACAAGCGATGTTTCAAAAGTAAGTTTTCGTAAAGTTCTGTCGTATATTTACAATAATGTTACGCTATCGTCACGATTAATAACACATTATTATCATCACACTCACTTGGTTGATATTACTGTATTAGAGTAGAAAAAAAACTTTTTTCTTTTCAAATGTGCACAACTTTGCTTGAAGACAAAAAAAACTTTTAGTAACCCTAATATTAACTATACTTTTTATTATTTTTTACTACCAGGTAGTTCAAATAATTCTGCGCCTCCTCTCAAAACAAATTTTCGGAGTTAAGAAGCACAGAATAATTTGAATAACTTAATACAATATATTACAAACACTTGCCTTTCACTACTTTACCATTCTTCACTACTAAAACTTCACGCGTGGGTGAGAAATTGCAATAGTTATTGTTTTTGTTTATTGTTTTGTCTGAATACTCTTACAATAGTCACTACTTGAATTTCATCTACACACAAGTCTCTTACAAAACCCTCACTTTTTGTAAAAGACTACTTGAAATATTACTACTGGTTTTTACACAATACTTAAAAGATCTCTTTTGGTTTCTATAGCTATAGAAGACAAGTTTATATGGGTATTTTCTATGGAAATAGTAATAAGTTAAGTTACCATAACCTACATTACCTAACCGTACCCTACCCTACCCTACCCTACCCTACCCTACCCTACCCTACCCTACCCTACCCTACCCTACCCTACCCTACCCTACCCTACCCTACCCTACCCTACCCTACCCTACCCTACCCTACTCTACTCTACAATACCCTACCCTATCCTACCAACTCTACCCTACTCTACATTACCGTACCAAACATTAACATTGCCTTGCACGCCACCCCAAGTCGACCGATCAGTCAAAGTAGAGATTCTTAATCGATTCCTTTTTCCGATAATTTGTTCCATTTCGTTTTTCGTTTTTTTTTTTTTGTTTTTCGGTCGGTTTTTTCGCCTGATATTCAAACTTTTTCTACTATTTTTGACCAAAATGTAGCAGAAACTAATGGTAAATGGTAAATTTCAACAGATAAAAGACGTACATTTAAAAAATATATGATTTTTGTTATTTCACAATTGCAATTGTTTCATAAAAGTTTTTTTACATTTTAGCTTTTAATTTTAAAACCAACCGTCATGCGGCGAAATGTCAAAAAAGGAAATAATTCGTTTTCTATTGGTTCAGAGTGGCGTGCCTTGCCCATGTATATTGCCTTTGCCTTGTCTATACTTTCCCTTTACTGAACTCTACTCTATACCTCCCTACGTCAACAGAAGCACATAACAGTACACATTGCACTACAAGGTACAACAAGAACAATTTTTTTACAAAAAGGCACCACTTTGCACCATTTTAAGAATCCAAAAGCACCAGCAGCACACTTTTTCGCACCAAAACCAGCATTTTCAAATTCAAATTTTAGCGGCCAAAAGAAGCGCCTCGCAGCCAATTGGGCCTTGTATCAATAACTTGTGTCCCACCGGCTACACGTGTAACCAATCGGACTATAAGTGCTATTAAGAACGTTTGCTTCACGAATTGACAAAACGGGGCTCTATTACTATTAAAAGCTAATAATTAATAATAAAAGTTGATTATGTTATATTAGAGTCAGTTATAAGAAGTTTCTATATTTTTTATTCCAGTACTATATTTAGTACAGTAGTTAAAGGACCAGTTCGCCCATTCAAATATCATTGGCATTCTGTCGCAAAAATTCGACGTTCATTTTTTCGCAAAAAACCTGAGCAGGTCGGTCCCAAATTGGAAAATTCATTTCGACACCGACCCACTCACGTTTTTTGAGAAAGACGATTTTGATTGAAATTGCCTGATTTTCGACGCTTTTTGCGACAGGATGCCAATGATATTTGAATGGGCGAACTGGTCCTTTAAGCTAATATATCAATGACTATATATGCCAACGTGTAGTATATATAGCATCAAGCCTACTACACTTATAGAACCACTATACCATACTTTATGTTTTGTTCAAATAATTCTGTGCCCCTACCTCTAAAGCTTGCTTTGGAAGAAGGGCACAGAATTATATGAACAACCTAATACATCAACAAGCAAAATAAATATTATCCTTTATATAAATACAAATATGTCCATAAATAACGTGTTGTATACAGTCATTTATGATATTATTCTTGCGATGAGATCAGTTTTTGACGTCAAATGGATCATCCGAATTCTCGTCGACATCTCTTACCACCTGAGGGCGAGGACTGTAAAGTAATCGAGTGAAAAAGTAAAGTAAAGGTAGCTTACGTTTCGAGACGTCGAATGTTGAGGTTGACTCGGATCTCCTGCCGTCTTTCGTTTGCCTTCAAATATGATTTGTCAATTTTTGTCAAAGAAAGAGTGTCATTGTTTGTTTTATAAAAAGTTTTTGTAAGAAAATAGTTTTTGTAGTTTTAGAATTGAAAAAGAAGGGGCTTCTACTTCAATATTATGATGGTAAAAGTCTTATCGTCAATTTACATGGTTTTGTACGTTAAAAAACGACAAAACTTTTTTTTTGTCATAATAAAGAGGTTTCACTGTATTAATTTTTAATATTCAAAATTTATTTTTAAAAATCTAAAAATATTTTCAGAACAGCCCAAAAACGATGACTAAACCTACCATTTCCTTGGGAAGCAGCATCTTGTCTTCGCCATCGATCTCCGACTTTGGAATGTCAAAGGAATGAACTTAAAAACAGTATTATACTTGTGAAATACTATAGTAAACGTCAGCTAGAGCTTAAAAAAGTATTTACAGTAACAGGATAGGGCAAAAAAAGAATTTTTTAAAATTTTTTTATTTTTTTCCCGCCTGGCCCGGTACAATATCATACAAATATAATACTATATAAAAGAATAGTAAAAATCTTGTCGTCTATTTACCTCAACACCATGTAAGTCTACGACAAGACTTTTAACCCTCCAAAAACTATAATATTGTTCAAATAATTCTGTGCCCTCTAACACCAAAAATTTTCTTTGAGAGGAGCACAGAATTATTTGAACAACCTAAAAATACAATTCCTTCTGGTTTTAACAAATAAAGATCAAAAGCTGCACTATATTCGTAAAAATTAAACTGCTACCCTATATTCATAAAAATTAAAATGCTACACTATATTCGTAAAACGCAATCTTACTTGACTTTCCGAAGGTCATCGTGACCATCAAACCCAGGAACAGTGTGACCAACAAACTCCTCAACATTGTGAACAACAAAAAGAACAACAAACCCTTACAAGGCTTCGGTTTAAATACGGTTTTTGTTAATTTAAACTTTGCAAATTAAAATGAGCGGCCCTTTGTTGGCTCCGGAAAGTGAGGGACAATATAACCGGGAACACGCCCCATTTATAGCTCAGGTAGCTTGAACAATAACGAGCGCCGCCATGAGAAACGGGTTCGACGAAAAAACAACAAAAAAACGAAATTTCAACGACCATTTTCTGGTTTAAAGAGCGGAAGAGGTGAAATTACAAGTTATTACGACATATCAAACCTTATGTATGTCTAGGTGGAGTGGTAACACTGATTTATTTACTACAGGCTTTGTTAAAGAAAATGTCCTTTTTTAAAACCTATTGTTTGATAGCGTTTACAAGCAAAATATACGTGTTTTAGGTAGAAACCCACGTGTTTTCAAAAAAAATTTTTTTAAATCTTGCTTTCTTTTAATAAGGCTTGTTACAAGTCAAAATTTAGGTATAAAATGAGCTTCAATGTGACCATACCTACAACACCAGTTTAAAAAAAAAAACAAATTTCATCTTCATATTTTACTCCACAAAAATAGATAATGTTTCATTAAAACTTGTGATTGTAAGGCATATTCCAAACTTTAACTTATAGTTTATTCATTCCTTATCAATTTTATACAACTGAGATTAGGATAAAACAAAATTAAATCAATTGATGCTTTCCAGCATTTTGAAGACCCATAGACACAATATGTATATACGATTACACATGTATACAAGTAAAAACAACCCATAAAAACATTAGGACAACGTAAACCGATTCAGAATCCATCAAAAGTTCGTTAAATCGCTTCAGTATTCACCGCAAGGTCGTTGAAACAATTCAGAATCCGTCAAAAATCTTTTGAAAATCCAGAATCATTAGACCATTAATAACTAATTCCGATCCAAGAACCCGGAATACCGCACCAGATTGTCCAAAACGGCACCATTTTGCTTGCGTGCTTGAGTTTTTGACTTTTCCATTCCAAAAACTGGATCATGTAACGATGCAACTAGCTGTCTGAAGCCGGCAGTATCAGCTGGTGTCACAATACCAATGTCTGACAGTTCCCATTGAGATTGTTGTACACATTTTAACATATCTTCATCATCCTCCCTTACGTGCATAAGAGAGCAAACGTTCATGTATGTGATGCTCCTGAAGCCATTTTTGATGTTGGTCAACATTTGAGCTGTGATTCGTCGCCTTACTTCACTCATATATGGGCTAAAATGACATAATTAGATCGAGAAGTTTAAAAATTAATCTCTTAAATTCAAAAAATAAATATTTTTTTCAAAAATATATCAAAAATTAAATGAAATAAAGAAAAAATGTAGCATAGATAATATTATAAACCTTTTAGACATACAAGAACGATTCATGAACTGGATTACTCCGTATCCATAGCAAACACTGAGATAAATCCTTGTTATAAGCAGCTTCGGCTAATTCATACAGCTTCCGAAGTTCAGGGCAGTCTTTGTAAGCATGTTCGCTTCGAAGCACTGCATACCTTGCCTAAAACAATATAAAAGGTTTAAAAAATGATAGTTAAACCATCTATTATAAAAAATACGTTTTTTTAAAACCTCACCTGATTCGGGTCGTTCTGAATAATATACATCAATATGATAGTAACGTATTCACCAAGAGAAATAAGCGCAATCCCCAGCTCTTTCTCCAATAACTCAACAAAGAGTTCAGCAGGACTTTTCTAAAATTTAAAATAAGAAAAAAACAAATTTTTAACTTACCGTAGATTCTGGAGCTAAAATCTCAACAAGCTTGATAGAGTTTTGAGGACTGGGTTGAGGTGCATCCTTTGCATTAGGAGCTGGCACTTGAGGTGGCTCTACTTGAACTTGTGGTTCCGCCGGTGGTGCTGCTTGTTCTGCTAAAATATAACGTGTTATTCCTTTTAATTTAAGAAATAACGGTTTATTTAATTAACCCCAATAACATAAGTCAGCTTTTCACAAACTTTAGCCAAAAAACTAGTTTACACGAACTTAGCAGCAATTTACCTTCTTGTTGTTGTTCAACAGCTGGTTCAGCTGGTGCTTCAGCAACTACTGGATCTGGTGGTGGTGGATCACTCATTTTATCTGTAAAATATACAACAGAAGTCTACAGAAATTGGAACTTTTACCAAGATGTTATAAACCGTATAAAAAACAAAAAATTGTTTTATAAAAACACAAAGCCAAAAAAGCTTTCGTGTCGGAGCCAACATGATATTATAATGTGAACAAAAAATTGTTTTTTGAATAGAAAATCCTTGTAAAACCTTCTTAACAGTAATTAACCTTATTTTACTCAACAATGATTATAAAATCTAAAACTGGTAAACGAAAAATTGAAACGACGTTTCTGGGAGCTATATCTGCCCCCAAAGTGTAAGTTTGTTATATATTTTCTTGTTTTTAGCCTTTAAAGGATGTTATTCTGCTTTGTTAAGTATATTGTTATTTTTTTAAACTTTATTGTTGTAATTTTAAGCAGACCGAATGACGATGAAGCAGAATCTCCTCTTCATGTTGCAGAAAAATCGTTTCCATCGACAAGTCTAACTTCATGCGACGCATTTTTTAAAGCCAAGGATAATAAGGTAACTTTATCTTTATTCTATTTATTGTTTAGGTGGAAGAATACGAAGTAGTTGCGTTGACTGACAGACCGATTGTCGAAGCTGTACCTGAAAAATTGAATATAAAAGCTCCGAAGACTGGTAAGGTTCACATAGCAGCTCCGAAAGTGAAGAATATATTGTCTGTGAAGTTGAGAAATGTAAGGAAACTTACTTTTTGTCTTTTTTAGATGTTCAGGAAGGCAATAAGATAATAATGTTGGTTTTTAGAACGCCAAAAATATTAATGTGATCCAATCACACAATCAAGAACTACGATTGGCCGAAGGAACAACGTTGAAAGCTTTGAGGAACGAAGCTGTGGTCTGGAGCAACTTTATCCTGGAACCTGTGGTGCTTTTAGCAGCTAATGAGTATATTTTTTATATTTTATAACTGTTCTTTTTATTATTAACTATATGATTGTGTTTTTCTTGTTTAAATTGAAATTTTAGGTTATATTCGGCTGTTTTAACAAACTGTCAATCTTTACATGTATATAACACATCAACCGGCTTGAAGTTGATGGATTGGACTTTGGAGAAGCAAACCAGCTTAATTACTTTGAATTGCGATTATTTGTTGTTGGTGACTACTGATTTGGATGTTATTATAATGTAAGTTTTGTTTCCTATAAGCTTTTTTAAAACTATTGATAAAGTAGAAGCAAAAAGAACGTTTTTGAGCTTTTACTTTGTTTCACTGCTATTTTTTAGTATTTATTTTGATTTTTAGAAACCTTGAGGCTCAAAAAGTGGCATCAAAGTTGTCTTTTGCTAGTTTATTGTATAACAAAGGGATCAGTCTAGTTGGAGTAGCATTAACTGACCACGGAGTTCCTTTGGCTGCTTTGAGTAACGGAGAATCTATGTATTATGATGTAGATAACCAAGTTTGGTATGTTTTTTAATAATCTTTTGTTATGAAGTTTAAAAAATTTTTTGATTAAAAATGGTGTAATGCCTCTATATGAGCTCATATATGATAACTTTAGTACAAATAAACGTAAATTTTAGGATATCAATTGAGACCGGGACAGATTCCTTAGTATCAATGGATACTTATCTTGATGTTGTTAAGAAAAGTGTGCCATATGGGATTGTTAACGTTCTTTTCCCTTTGTCGAAGCCTTATAAGAAAGCTGGATTGGCATTAGCTGGAGCGAAGCGAGTTGATGAAGAAAATGCTCTAGAAGTGTTGATTAATGCACTAATTGTACTAGAAAGCCCAGAAGAACTGAGATTGGTACTTATTTTGTTCGTGCAGAGGTTGCTTGTTATGGGTAAGTTTTAAAAGGTTATATATTGAATTTTTAAGTTACTTTAATTTCTTTAGAGCTTATCTTAAGATGAATTTGAATTCTCAAGCTTAGCTTTAAATATTTTAGGTATTAAAAGCTTCTGAAGCTTAGTTAGTACTATCTTGTACCATTTTTTACTAATTTTTTATCGTTTTATATGTTTAGGTAGATATGCCAGACTTGGCGTGGTAATTAACCGGTTTGAAAAACAACTACAAGAACACAACGTATATTATCCTTCTTTCGTTGATGACATTTCAAATGTTTGCACTGAATTTAACGTTGATTTAAATGAAATTCGAAAAGAAGTCGAAGAGGTTCCAATGATGGAGCAGGTTGCCTCTGATGACGATGATGAAGATCTCTTGTAGTGCTCATGTAAACTTATGTTGTTAACGTTAAAATGTTATAAAATACGAAATATTACTAATGTTTGTTTTGAATTTTTAGAGAAAATTGAATTAATTTGAATAAAAAGTTCAAAAAATGGTCAAAATTGTTTTTTTGGAATTATTATATGAAGCTGTTTTTGTCAGTTGTATTGTTGGTTTTTACAGAGAACGGTCGGTGGCGCACGGTGGTCGACGGATCGTGGTAGTTGTGGCTAACTGAAGGAAATATCAACTTACACATTCGATAAGTCAGCTGAAGTAAGGTTGATATGGCGTGGAGTGTTAGAATGGTTCTATCTTTTCAATTTGGGGTAGATATTAGGGAATTTTGAAATTGGAGGAGTTATTAGGGTTTTAAAAATTTTTTTACGATTTTTTACAAATCTTGTAGTCTATAAGTTATAGGCTTAAACTCTAAAATTTGCTTTGAAAGGGGGCACAGAATTATTTGAACGACCTAATATAAAAAGCCGAATTTTATCATTATAATGAACTGTATATAGTCATACGGCAAAAAAAAGCATACAAATATAAACAATATGATCATGATCATCCCCTTCAACTCTGCTACTATGATCACCTTCTTTTTCAGAGAATGGCGAATCGCAGAACAAAGGCGGCCGGCGGCGGTAGGCGGAAATACACGGAGGGCATGGCAGCACAATGCTCGGTGGATAAACACGGTGGAGCGGCTACAGAGAAACGAATGACTACAATCCCCGCCAAGTTTGTTCACCGCGGCAAAAGCGAGGTCTCGGTAAGGGCTTTGGGGCTGATTGCTATTGGTTTATCAAGGGGTTTTTAATAGAACGTGGTTAAATTTATAAAAGTTTGTCTACATGTTTCTACCTCCAAGTCTACCTATGTCAAGATGAACACAGTACTGAGAACACTTCTATTATAATTCAGTACTGATAAAATTTCTACTTTGTTATTTTCCAGGAACACTCGAAACCGATGAACGCAAAGCAAGTAGTCGTAAAAGAATGGATAACTAAAATTTTAAGCGGCGGCTTAAGAGAATTGAGACATCAGTTCGTTAACAAAGTCAAAAAGTACACTCCTTCAGGGTCGACCGACGCGTTCAACGATGCTGATAACAACAATAAGAACAGGTACGACGACGTGGTACTTTTGGACAAAACACGCGTCAAAGTCACCATCAATCCGGATAATGGTAGGGGTTTAAGCTCTCTTGCCTTGTTCTGCCTTGCCTTGCTTTGCCCTGCTCACCCCTGCCTAACTCTACCATGCTATATTCTGCCTCACTCTAGCTTATATTTTCACACCCTACCCTATATTTTGTTACCCTGCCTTATCTTACTCTATATTATCTTACTTTAACTAAATTTGTAATTCTTTGATGTTATAGATGACTACATTCACGCCAGCACGGTGGAGGTAAAGCCGAAAGACTTGTCTTATATTTGTGCCCAAGGCCCTATGGAAAACACTGTAATGCAGTTTTGGTTAATGTGCATTCAGGAAGAAGTTGCGGTAGGTTAATATAACGTTAAGCAAAATTTTTTATATTTATTATCTTTTAGGCTTAATTATTACCTTGCAAGATTAAAGCTTAAAATTTTGATTTTTTTTGCTATATATAGCATTAGAATTTGTAAAATGTAAAATTTGGTAGATGTTAGATCGTTCACAATGTTATATTTTGTTTTAAACCATGACTTTTTAGATAATATTTTTATAATTTTAAACTTTGTCATTTTAGGTAGTACTCCAACTCTGTGCCAACACTGAGAAAGGTAAAGAAAAGTGTTCGGATTACATGCCCAAGGAGAAGGGGGAGTCGGCCACGTACGGTGTAGTGGAAGTGAAGCTTGTTGATCAGAAGAAGAACATCCCCGGAGCCAAGAAAGTGGTCCGATCCAAACTTCAAGTCACCTTCAAGGAGAAGACCAGCACAGTCACTCACATTCTCTACACAGGATGGCCAGATCACTCCGTTCCAGAGTCGGTGGGAACGTGCAGAGAAGTACGGAACATGGTGCACAAGTTGTACGAGAAGAAACCCATTGTTGTGCATTGTTCGGCCGGCATTGGTAAGGGTTTGGTTGGGGATCGAGAAAAGAATTTATCTTTGGCAATTGGCTAAAAATGAAAAAAACTTTTAAAAAGTTTTAAAATCTAGAAAATATTGGCATTTCAGGCCGCACCGGGACCTTTGTCGCAGCAGAAATGGTCCTGAGCAAGCTGGTCGACGATCAAAACTCAGACTTTAATTTGGCCGACATTCTCCGTACTCTGAGAGATCAACGGGTGCAAGCCGTTCAGAATGATCAACAGTTCACCTTCATTCTCCGCTTTGTCATTGACATTCTGATAACGGAAGACTTGCTGAGCAAAACCTCCAAAGTCAGCGAGTTCTTGACGGAATTTGAGGATTTGGTGGAGAGAAAAAAGAAACTGGAGAAACAGAAGGACGACTAAAGATTGGAAATGGACGATGAATGCTTAGATTATGAGTTGGAAATAAAGTTTTTGAAGCTTAATTGGAGATAGGGGGTACTGTAAGGGTATAATGTGGTAGAGAAGGGTAGAGTAGGCCAAACTAGGGTAGTGTAAGATGAAATAGAGTAGGGTAGGGTAGAGTAGGACAGGAAAAGAGTATTATAAGGTGAAATAGAGTAGAGGAGGCCAAGATAAGGTAGTGTAATATGAAATATAGTAGGATAGGATGTATTGGCTAGGGGTAAGAAAAGGGCTTTGTAAGCCCGTCCTGCCTCTATGATAGCGCCGGGCAGTTCTTGAGCTACATTTTTAAACGCTCCTGACCTTAAAGTCGGGCCCGTTCCGCAGGCTTGAAAAGTTGGATCGGGCCCAAAAAGCCTGGCCTAGGATTTTTTTTACCAGTCCAGACCGGTCAGAGTAAAATCAAAACGTACCGGGCCTAAAGGTGGATTCACCCACATTCCTTGTTTTTCGTTATATTAGGTTGTTCACATAATTCTGTGCTCCTAACCTCCAAAATTTCCGTTGAGAGGGGGCAAAGGATATTATGAACAACTTAACATAAATCACCGAAGTTTACTATTATAACTTATCGTATATAGTACTAAACCAACCCAAACTCAATCATGGTTTAATCATTTATTCACAAATAGCCCGTATGAGTAAAATTGAAAAAAGAGATCAGAAACAGGTATCTGAATTACTATCTAAATACATTGTAATTACAATTGTAAAAGTACCGGTAGTTGTTGTTTGTGTAATGGACGGAGGTTAAACGAAAGACGACAATCCGTTTGGATTGAAGGTTTGATGTTTGGGTGAGGTGAAGTCGGAGCGAAGGTTGATACCGCCCACGTCGTAGTCGCGGTTACTGTTCAGTGAGGAGGGGTTGCGGTCGTCGGAACCTGAAGTATTGGGTTTTACATGATTTATAGTTTTAGCTGAAGGATTTTAAGTCATGACCAAGGGTGGTGGGGAGGGGAGGATTAATTTTGGAAAAAAATTTAAATTCACCCCCCCCCCAAATTTTTTTTAGTAAAAGTGACACTTGCTATTTTCGTAGACCTACGGTAAAAATTGAAAAAAATTGTCCCCCCCCTCCCCCAAATACCCCGCACAAAAAAATTAGAAAACTTACCGCTATGCCCAGTATCATTCGTAGCCTCTGAATCCGGCCTATTTGGCAAAAGGTACACTGGCGAATGACTGTTAGTAGCAAACCTCTGCCCACTTTGCATTCTCTGCCTCTCGGCATCTCTTCCCCGCTTCCACGTCGCTCGGTAGTTTTCTTCCTGTGGATTACTTTGGTAATGTCCGGCGAACGACTTCTCAGCTTGAACTTCGGCATCATCTGTCGCGTCAATGGCGATGGGATCTTCGTTCAAAACCCTGGTCCCATACGGTCCAATATCCACCTGAACCGGTGGTTTGGCCCAGTAATTGTTGGCTCGAGGAGAGATGTTGAGTTGAGACTTAGAAGCGTACGGATTCACGGCTTTTATGGGTTTACTGTTACGGTGGACTTCTGGCACGGTGTCGGTGGCTAGGGCGTGGTAAACGCTGTTGGATCCGTACAGATTTTGGCGGTTATTGAGGCCAGAAGCTAGCGAGCCGTAAGGGGCCTCGTTGTTTCGAAGATTCTCGTTGGATAACCAGGAGGTGTGGGTTTGGGGACGATCTTCTGGGCTGAAAATTGAAGGATTAATGGTTTTTAGTATTAAAAAATGTAAAATTAGGCCTAACATTTACGTTTTTGTCACTTTTTCATGAAGGTCTTTAGCATTTAGTGCATTTTTTTCATTTTAAACTCCATTTTCTTCTTTGATCTATCATTTTTTTCAAATTTCGAACCTGTTACTACTATAATAATATAAAACCGTACCTTTTGCTTTTATTTTGTGGAGCATAAGAGACCACAAAGCCATCGGCAAGCTGATGAGTATCATACATGTCTGGTTTTTCCTCCTTTTTGCCCGAACTTGAGTTGACCAAACATAAAAGGCCAATGAAGAACATGACAATGATTACTATGACTAAAGCCACGACTATTAAGAACCAGGTTTGGGTGTAGATGGGGTCGTCCGGAATTGAGGCTAAAACAATATTATTTAGATTTTTACTGGACTTCAGGTAGTTAAAATACCAGTTTTAGACTTCTTTTAATTATACTTCACTTATAAGCCTGTATTATCAGCTCAAAATTTTAAATTTACGTTTTCCCCCCAAAATTGGCATAGTGTTTCAGCCGTCAAAAATACCTTCCCTGCACTATATTTTAACTTCAGAATCCGAAAAACATAATTTAACCTCTTCAAAAGCCAAAAAACATTCAGAATCATATTAACCTTGTCTTACCTGGCACATGAAGTTGATCTGAAGCTTCTGAAGGCAATCCGATGCCCAAGTTGTTTCTGGCGAATAACCGGAAAACGTAGAAGCTACTAGGCTCTAGTTGTCTGTAGCTAACACGGTATTCGTTGTCTTTCCCCAGCACATTCGATATCGTTACCCATTCGCCGATCTGATGTTGAGGACGATAAGGATCAGTGTCTATTAGTGCTCGTTTCGTTCTTGAATCGTTATCATCTTTAACAGTGAAGCTCTTATTCAAATCCTCAAACTGCCTCTTCCGTCTAGCTGTAGTAGATTGTGTGTTATTAACTTCATCATAAGCTACGCCAATCCGTTTAGCTTGTATAACATAGCCTTTGATTGGGGTATTACCAGCCGGTCCATCAGTCCACTTCATCAAGAAACTGGACTGTTCTGGCAAGACAATCGGCTTGGTTGGTGCACCTGGAGCACCTCGATTGTAGCCAATGGTCACATTACTAGATACTGGTACTCCCAGTCCAACTGATGTTCTAGCTTGTACCGTGAATGAGTAGGTCGTATTCTCCTCCAAACTACTGGCTAGCAGGTACGGTAGGGTTGTTTTTTCTTGAATTTCTTTGCGGAAGTCTTCGGAGAATTTGTAGGTACGGTAGGTTACAGAGTAGCCGATGATACGTCCGTTGGATTGTTGAGGTGGAGTCCACGAGACGTTGACTGAATCTAGGAGAATATCGCTGAATTCTAGTTCACCAACAGCTCCTGGAGTGTCTTCCAAAGTTCGTGTACGTACTATAGCCGACTGACCGTCGCCTGCACGGTTGTAGCCGGCTACAGAGATCTGATACTCGGTGTATTTCCTCAAATCTGTCAGTAAGACACTATTGTTCTCGGTGACAATGATCTCCTCCAGATTCTCTCCGCCTTCCGCTTCTTCTGCCACTTCGGCCGACATTGAGCTGACGATAGGAGCGTACCGTACACGGTAGCCGGAGATGACATCGTCGTCGCTGTTCTCCCACGGTCTCCATTGAATTTCCATCGATGTGCTTGAAGTTGGGTCGGCTTTTAGGTCTTTGATGTCTTGTTTTGGGATCGAGTAGCCGACATAGACAAAGGCTGGAGGTTTCGAGGGTTGGGAGGTGCCGAACTTGTTGTAGCTTTGCACTTGGACTATGTAGTGGTGGAAACTGAAAGGAATTGTGATTATTTTAGGTGTATTGTTTTATAGTAAGATTCTGTTATCGTTAAAACCAACTTTTATTTTTCCGATAACGAAATGTCAAAAAATTATAACGAAAATTTGAATTATTTTACCATCGTCCCCACCAAACTCACCTAGCCAACTTGTGAATAACATGTCTAACCACACCATCGTCCGAATTCCTCTCCACCAAAGGCAGCGTCTCACTCAGGAAGGTGTTATTGCTCTGATATACCCTGTACAATATCTTATATCCAATTTGATCTGCATTCCATTCCAGCTCGTCGATTGGAGTCCATTCCAATAGGATCGAGGAGGATTCATAAGGTTTGGCTTTAACATTCAGTGGTCCTGATTTTGGTGGAGCACCTTGAGTTTTCGACCAGTCGGATTCGGATGACCATGTTGTTGTAGCTTTGTCGCCGACGTAGCGGACTCGGGTTCGGTATTCCATGTTTGGGATGAGGCTGAAGATGGGTAAGATTATGTGATAGGATAAGGTAGACAAGGTTAATAAGGGTAGAGGAAGGCAGTGTAGGCCATGTTAAGATAGGATGTTATGAAACAGTAGAGTAAAATACGCTAACATAAATAAACCTTTAACTAAAACAATATCAAAATCCTTACTCATTCAACTTGAACTTGTTCTCAGAAGCCAACACATTCCTCTTCATCCTCACCCACAAATCCTGATTCTTCCTCTGATACTCGACTTCCACCTCCCTCACTTGGCCTTCTCCCTCTGGTATCGTCAAATACCACCATAAGGCATCAGAACTGGCAGCATCTGACATTTTAACTACAGGTGATTTGGGTGTAGGCAATGGTAGGTCCCTATCGGTCGTTATCACACTCAGCTGTACCTCTTTGCTTACTCCAACTTCAGACTGAGCTTTGATGCCAAAGATGTAGTTCGTATTAGGGGTGAGGCTAGCGGCCGAGAACTGGTAGATACTGTGAGGTAGTACTGTCGATACGGCACTCTCCTCTCCTTTGATGGCTTTCCAATGCCTGAGGACATAGTTGGTAATGATGCCATTTGGGTTGAGGGGGGCTTCCCAGTTCATGATCAAGCTGTTGTTGCTCACCTTACTGAACTTGACGCTGATTGGTGCTTCTGGTACGTCAGCTGGGGTATGAATCAGTGGACTTTCGGTGGAAGATGGACCTTCTCCAACCAAATTGTAAGCCGATACGAATACTCTGTAAGCCGTGAATGGTCGTAGATCTCTTGTTTGGAAGTATGTCACCTTGGTATCAGCACTAGGTACGTAGGCATCTTTACTGTACTGTAAACGAAGCTTTTGGTCCTCAGGGACTAGTCTAACGTGATATCCTTCCAGTATGCCGTTTCGGCTTTCCAGTGTCACATCATCCCATTGGATTCTGACCGTGCTTTGATGAAGATCGACCAACACGCCCTCTGGGCCTTCTGAAGGAGTGGCTTCGTATGTTGTGACTGTGATGGTTGAGGATGTTTCGCTTGAGCCGAACGAGTTTTTTGATGCCATTTTGATTTGATATGTTGTGAAAGGTTCCAAGTTGAGTAGGGTGATCTCCCCGGCTTTGTGGTTTACCGTGCGTACGATATTCCATTCATCGTTCGCATTACTTGAAGGATTCTGTATTCTATCGTTAGCCATCTGTAGCCTGCTCTCTCCACTCTTCCCGCCCAACTTCGTTGGCTTCATCGCTCTGTAGCTGATGACATAACCTCTTGGTTCGCCGTTCCAATGAGTTGGCAATAACGGTGTCCACACGATCTGAATCCGATCGTCCGCTACCGGCTCAGCGTACACTTTCTCCGGGGGACCTTCTGGTTCCGTAGCCTGTGTTTCAAAGAATCTGCTGGGTTCGGATGGAGCTCCACGACCTCGGATGTTCTCCGCAATCAATCTAAATTGATATTTCGTAAAGGGCCGAAGCTTTGTCACGGTGAAACTTCTCGCTTTTGGCGAACTGATGTTGAAGATCTGTGAGAATACGGTAGAAGTTCCGACTTTGGCTTCGACTATCCACTTTTTGATATAAGAATGACCATCAAAGCCTGGTATGAATTGAAGTACAGCACTTCTCGGACCAACATCAGATACTGTGAGTGAAGATGGACGTCCTGGCAGCTCTGGTGGTACTCCGGATTCAAATTTGGCTTCAGTTCGAGGTGAAGCGCCAACTTTAGTTAGGGCTTGAATATCTACGGAATATTGAGTAGAAGCCTTTAAGCCTTCCACGGTGATGTTGCTTTGGTCAGCCGTGACTTCGATCGCATGCTTGTCATCTGGCTTTGTGGTTTCCCAGTGGCGGAGAATGTATTCTAAATGATTATTGTTGTGAGAATGAATAATATAATTTTTAGTGAGTATACTTAAAAAAGTTACAGTAACCTATAAAAAAGAATAGTTTCAGCAAAAAACAAAATTTTTTACCCTTAGACCATAGATATTAACTTACTGATAAGAACCCCATTAGGCTCGACCGGAGCTTCCCATTGGACAACGACTGAACTAAACTGGACTTGATCAAACGAAACTGAAGGCACAGGTCCTGGAACGTCTTCTTCTGTCACAACTTCAATCGCATCACTTCGAGGACCATCTCCAGCACTTGTGAAACAGAGTACTGTAACATTGTAATGACCAAACTTTTCCAATTCATTTATATTGGCACGAAGACGGCTTTGATCTGGATTCACTTGCACCGTACGATACTTTTTGCCTCCAACTTTGTCTTTCCAGAATTCAATCTGGAAATTTAGATGTAAAATACGACTGACTAACTCATGCATTTTAAAATTAGATTTTAAATACTTTCTAAATAACATATAATCATGAAAGTTAGCTTTCAATACTTGTTTCCCCATTTAAACAGCTTTTTATTTAGAAAAAGTGAAAAATTCCCTAAAAATCCTTTTTTTTCGTAATTTTACTCACAAAAAAGTCATGCTAAAATTGTTTAAAATTGCAAATGGCCCACAAGTGAGTATAAACTATTACCTTGTAACCCTGGTTGACTCCAGGTATCATTTGTTGATCTACCGGATCAAATTCAACCAAAACTTCGGTCGAACTCTGAACTGATACCTGAACATTGTGTGGTGATTCCATTGGAGCTAAAATATGTTTTTATATTAATAGAAGTGCCAAACATTATATGAGAAACTTAAATATTTAACTTATAATGTAAAATGACTTGGTTATATACAGTAATTCATTTAAAACTTACTTCCTTCCAACGACTGAACCTCAATAGGTTTGCTGTAAACCCCCAGCCCTCTATTGTTATAAGCCGCCACTTGAACTTCATACAACTGCCAAGTGATCAAATTCTCCAGCAAATCATTCCTAGCATCAGGCTTGCTCAGGTTCTTCTCCTGCCATTGCAAATTGTATCCAGCCAGCCTATACCTAATGTTGTACCCCAATATATCTCCATTCCACTGATCAGCCGGAGGTGGATGCCATTGTACCATCACTGAATTCGAAGACCTCGGACTGGCCGCCACAGATCGTGGACTAGCGGCTGGTGGTGATTGAGGCATGGTAATGTTCATGGATGATAACGAGGGTTTGCCATGTCCATGAACGTTGTAGGCAACCACACGAAACTCGGTTGTTGAAGATGGTCGTATGTTGTCGATGAACACTGAACAACAAGATTCGGTGTTCACATTGTCTACCACTGTTTCCCAATCGTTCCAAAGGCCGGAACTGCCAAAGGATCGCATTTCAATAGCGTGTTTGATGATTGGGGAGTTACCATCAAAGCCCGGCTGCCATGAAACGCGTATTTTAGCAGGTAAGGTGTCGTTTATAAGGTGGGCTTGGACATTTACTGGCATTCCAGGTCGCTCTGTAATTGAAAAAGGTTTTTTTTTTATTTTTTTGAATTTTTAAATTTAAAATTTTTTTGAAATCTTGGTATAAAAAGGGTTTAGTAAAACTATATTGATGCTGGTAAAACCAAGGTAACCTTTTTAGATAAGGTAAAGCTAGAGTAGCTTCAGCGTAACCTTTTAATATAAGGTATAGCTAAATAGCCCTCGTGTAACCTTTTTAAATCAGGCAGAGCTATGACAGCTCTAGTGTAACATTTTTTTTCATATTTTCATGCTTTTTATGCCATTTTTCATAATTATATCTCCATTTTTCATTTTCAACCCCAAAATATTACGTATGATCTGAAGATAGGCCTCCACACTCTCCTCCTCCATTCCACTTGTTACAGTACACTTGTACAACCCAATATTGTCCGGTCCGACCTGGTTGATGTTGAGTTGGCCTTGGTCGTCGATAGTGACCCGGCGCATTGGGTCCCCCGAATTCGGTATTAATTGGCCCTAAACATTGGCCAAATTAAATGTTTGCGTTTGTTTTAATTTGAAATTCTCATCAAAATGAAAGGCCAAGATGAATGGACATTGGCTATTGAAAGACGGATTTCAGGGCAATGTTGACTTTGGCATGACATTTTGGAAAAAAAAGGAGAGGAGGAGGAAAGAAGGATAAAATTTGCAAAAGGAAGACAAGGATAACCCTCAAAAAGACATTTCAATAGATTTTTCAAGATTTTTTGTAGCAGTTATTCTAATACTTTCTTCAATAAATTCTCTGTCTTATCAAAAATCACCATTTTGACAAGCCAAAAGCCTCTAAAACAATATGACAAAGACCTCTAAAAGTGAAGAGGGATCTAAAACATCACGAAAAGGTCATGACGCAGGCCCAAAGTCGCGCATTCTTGACATTTCCGGCCAGCAAAGGCCTTTAATTTTCTTTTATATGACAACAGAAGCAGTTTTATGAGGCTTATATTGACATAGAGGTCAAGTAAAATACGTAAAGTTAAAGATATTACAATTTAATTACGTTTTACGTTGTAATGTTTCAAAAAGCAGTACAATTTCATTAAGTTTTACGAAGGTAATCAGCGTGAAAACAGTAAAAAAGACTAAAACATCAAAAAAAGTTAAAAATTTATAATTTTCGAAGATTTTTAAATGTTATAGTAGAACCAAAATGACAGATTTAGCCAAAAAGATGCCCCATTATCTTATCTTTCAAAGACTTACATTTTTCGACCACCTTGTTTCTGCCTTTCCTCTAGCCAAAGCTTCTTCCGATATCCTACAAGGCATCTGAACATTGGTCCCGATCAAAAGCGACTGATTAGAAGGTCCCAATTCAACCAGCTGAGAGCCAGTAACATCCAAATTAGCTGATGCTCGTATGACTTGACCTTGTGGATTCGTAGCGACGCAAGTGTAGACTCCAGAATCCTCTTTTTGGGTATTCTGAATCACCAAGGAGCTCAAATTGGTATTGATTCGAGGGTTTTCCATCAACAAAGCTTCATCATTAAACCTCCAGGTAATTCGATTGTTGTGTGGATCTGTTGTTTTACATGTGAAGATGACGTTCTTGCCAGGTTTTGTAAAAACATCATCTGGTTTTTCTTGAAAATCAAATTTGGGCATGTCATCGGCTGCGCGAACAAACATTTTGTCGTCTAAAAGTTGAAAAATTATTTTTTTTTTACCTTTAAAACCACTTTAATACCTTAAAAAGCTTCAATTTAACCTTATGATGTCTAACATCCCAATTGTAAACTTGGTTGTTACCTAAACTCCAAATATCGTCCCAAAACAAAATTTTAGGTGACAAAAACAAAACTTCAAATATTTTTAAAATTTCGTTTCTTACCAGGTTCATGAACATAAATAGTAGCCAAATCAGTTCCGGCGACGTTTCTAACTGAACATTGATATACACCATAGTCGGTTTCCGTGATTTTTGAGAGTTTGAGCACGTTTGGAGCGTTTTCCACCTGTAATTCGTAAATTAATAATACAAAACAAATATCTAAAGATAGTTTAGATAGAAAAGGTAAATTTTGTATCCATTTTAGTAGGGATTTTCGCCAAAAACTCCCAAATTTTACAATTTTTTCAAAGAAAACCAGATTTACTGGTAAAAGCGAATTGCGCCCACGCTGCGCAGGCTGCAGGAAGACTTTTTATGTAAAATTGGGAAAAATAAGGTAAAAATGAGATGAGGCGTAAGTTTCAGATATTTTTTTTTATTTTTTTTTAATTTCAGATCAACATACCAACTGTCCATTATGATACCAAATGACCTTTGGTCTCGGCCATCCTTTTTCGGTCGGACAACTCAATCTGACGTTTTCTCCTCGCAAAACTGGTCGATTTTCCGGAACCTGACCTAAATCCACCTTGGGAGCTTCAAGATAAGTCAATTTAGCAGAAGCATACTCTGTATATACATCATCTCCGCTTTTGACTTCACATTTCACCTGAGCCGAGTGAGATTTTGGGCCGAAAAATTGTGAATTGGGGTAGATAACCAGCCGTCTGCCCGACTTTTCAATGTGAATTCCATTTACTTCCTGTACAACTTCATCGTTATCAATATACCATTTGATTTCCGGTGGTAGAATACCAAGATACGATGGTACACACTCGAAAACGGCAGATTCTAGGAGGTCAGGTCCAGTTGATCTTAAAGAGACTGGCTTGGCACGGCCAGCGATCAAGACTTGATCTGAGGGACCGTACAGGATTTGGAGTTTAGATTCTCTGACCAACGAGGTTGGATCGGGTTTTACTATGTAAGAGTGGAGGTATATACGAGAGTTGAAGTCGCGGACTTGAACTCGGTAGTTGAACATGTTGTGCTTGGGGTTGATGGCTACGAGGACGCCGGTTGAGGTAATGTAGTAGTTGTCGTTAGTGAAGATCTGAAGGTTTGTGGTTTTAAAAATTTATTCAAAAAATTTTATTTAAGTTTTTTAAATATTATGTTGTTCAAATAATTCTGTGCCCCCTCTCAAAGCAAATTTTGAGGTTTGGGGCACAGAATTATTTGAATAAACTTTAAACAAATGATTTTAACTTACCTCTTCATCATCAACAAACCACCTCCAACTTAGTCCTGAATTTGGGCTAGCCTTGATAGTAGGTGGCCTAATGACGAAGCTTTTCAGGTCCTTAACCAACCATTCCGAAGTCTCCGTAGTAGCATCGAACCCATCAATGTAGCCCACGGTGACATTCATTCCCCAGGAAAAGGCCGCTCCTTTTGGATTCGAAGCCAAGCATTGGTAGATTCCAGAATCCTCTCTGAAGATCGAGGTCAGATCAAAGAATGAAGCTGACTCTCCCAGGATTTTCTTGCCATCCTTATACCACTGAACTTGAGTTACTTTCGAAGTTACAGGACATTTCAGATCTAATGGTGACTTCTCTGGAAGCCAGATTTGGGTCGGATTCACGCCTGCTGAATCGACCGGTGCAAATTGAGGTGGTTGTGAGGTAATTGGTTGTAGGAAGAGTAATTGTGCTATGAACGGCCAAAGGAGCCATCTATCTATTCGTTGTTGCATCTGGTATCATGCCCTGAAAAAGGTTTTTTGTAAGTTTAAGTTGTTTTAGTGTCATGTACCTCTAGAATTTATAACAATAATATTAGGTCGTTCAAATAGTCCTGTGCTTTATAATTGCAAAAATTTGCTTTGAAAGGGGCGCAGAATTATCTGAACAACCTGATAGTAAATCTTCGGATATTATAGTAGAATTGATAACAATGCTATTAGGTTGTTTAAATAATTCTGGGCCTCCATTCAAGGCAAACTTTTGGGGTTAAGGGCACAGTATTATCTGAACAACCTAATATAAACGCAAAACAAGTATATGATAAAGATACGCGCATTTAATACAAAAAACCGAAAGATAAGCCTAAAAAATTAAAATTAAACCTAATTTCAAGTTTTAAACTTCAAAAACCTCCCAAAAATTCTAATTTTAAAACTTCAAAACTTAAAAAAAACAAAATATAACGGTAAATAGTAATTGAAAAGCATAGTAATCAAAAATTGCTCAACGCCAATTACTTTACTTTTTCTTCACAAAAATTTTTCGCCTCAAAAACGAGCAGCGAAGCCGGCTTTCTCTAGCGTTCCACCACAGAATACAAGATCATTAGATGCGGCGGGCGATTAGGAAGTACAAAAGAAACAAAAGAAAGTTTTGGAAGCGATTCGTCTGTCCTAAACGGCCTTAGAAATGAGTTTTGGGACAAAATATTTGGAAGTGTTATACCCTAGATCTACCTTACTTTTGTCATAGCCCAGAGCCCCAGCCCACCACCCTCGCCGAGAGCCCTAGCCCAGATCCCTAGCCCAGAGCCCTAGCCCAGAGCCCTAGCCCAAAGCCTTAGCTCAGAATCCTAGCCCAAAGCCCTACCCCAGAGCCCTAGCTCAGAGCGCTAGCCCAGAGCGCTAGCCCAGAGCGCTAGCCCAGAGCGCTAGCCCAGAGCGCTAGCCCAGAGCGCTAGCCCAGAGCGCTAGCCCAGAGCGCTAGCCCAGAGCGCTAGCCCAGAGCGCTAGCCCAGAGCGCTAGCCCAGAGCGCTAGCCCAGAGCGCTAGCCCAGAGCGCTAGCCCAGAGCGCTAGCCCAGAGCGCTAGCCCAGAGCGCTAGCCCAGAGCGCTAGCCCAGAGCGCTAGCCCAGAGCGCTAGCCCAGAGCCATATCCCTAGCCATAGTCCTAGACATAGCCCTATCACTAGTCTTAACCATAACCTTATCCAATTATATCCAGCCTTGCCGCAGCCTTAGTCACAGTCATTGGCCATTGTCATATCCTAGTAGTATTTTATTCATTTTACTACCGGCTCTCTGTTGCTCTATCATACACTTTTAATGCTAACCTAGCCGTATCTTGTCCCTACCTTAATATAGCCTTAAATCACCCTTAAAAAATCAAGCCTTAAACTAGCTTTACTCGACCAAAAACCTTAACCAAGACACACTTCTCAAAACCAAGCCTGTTAGTAAGAAATAGCTATAAGATCTTGCGTTTTGTGTTAAATTTTTTAAACTTGGCCATTTAGTGAGAAATCTTTTCATCGGCCACTATGTTTTTGTAAAGATACCAAATGATTACAAAAGACGATCGATGAGTGTTCACTTAAAGAACGTGGCCAAACAACCTGACCGTGCGGCTGTTTTCAAGTATCAAAAGGAACGGTCAAGCGCGATTAACACTCCAAATGTCATAATATAATCCTATCTGAAGGTTGTACAGTGCAAATTGAACTTGACAAAAGTAAAAAAATTTGAAAAAAAACACCCTCCCCTGAAAAAATTGAGAAAAAAGTTACCCCGCCCAAAAAAATTTCCACCCCTCCCAAAAAAAAATTACCCCACCCAAAAAAAATTTATTCACAGTTAACCTTATAATGACAAAACTAGCTACAATAGCCTCAGGACAAATTAAAAAACTCAAAAAAAGCTGTGTCCAGTTAACTATGTAAAGTATAATACATAACTCCATTATGTTTACGGTAAACTAATTGATGCGGAAGCAAAACAAAGGCATTTAACTTTTAACCAATTTCGAATTGTACAATAAACGTTTTGTACAAAAGTAATATACAGACAACAACCATTAACTAATCGGTCGATTATTTACTGTTTTGCTGATTATTTTGAAGATCAACAGCTGTTACTGAGTTTTCTTTTTTGGTGGCTAATTAAAAGTAAAGAGAAAAACTTATTTGTAGAGACAAACAGTAGTACGGGATCACAAAAATCATGTAAAATCTCAATTAAAAATTTTTAAAACCAACAAAAAAATTATTTCGCGACTGGCCTTTCCAAGCCCTAGCTAGTCCTAAAATACAAAACAAAGAATTCTACAGTCATCTATGTCCTTTTTATTGCTTTTACTTTACCTAAAGTCCATCTTTATACCCTCAAGCTTACAGAACTGCAAAATTAGGCACATCTGTTGTTTAGCAACAAAAAAATTAAAAATTAATCCGTCTAACTCAACCGGCTCTTCAGTGTTTTTTTATTCTTTTCTGTTTCGTCACCTTAATTACAATGGTTCTAATTATCATCACTTTTTTTTTAAAAATTAACCTGCCCTGCCCAGCTTTTTCCTTTTCTTTGTTTTTTCTTGCTTTGCTATGCCTTTTCCCTGATCTGCTTTGCTCTGCTCTGCCTTTTGCTCTGCCTTTGCCCTGCTTTTGCCTTGCCTTTGCCCTACCTTTTCCCTGTCTTTGCTCTGCCTTTCTTTGCTTTTTCTTGCCTTTCCCTGCACGCATAGGCCCTAGCTAGCCCTAAAAAACAAACCAACCCATCCTACAGTCATCCAAGTCATCTATTGCCCCTTCGAATTAATTCAACAAAGTATCAGAAGAGGAAAGAAAAAAGTCGTAAAACACTCGGAAACAGAAGGCATTCCTTTCGGTCGTCCCTTAAAGCATCTCCTTTTTTAACTTTTTAACCCTGAAATCAAGGAGAAACTTTCTTTTTGTCTCCAAGGCCCATACAAGTACTCTCGAGGAGGCGGCCCGGAATCTATTTATTCCCAATTCCGATACCCCCGGATTAACACAAAGTTTATTCAAAATTTGTAATGAAAAGGCATTAGCGAAATTGAAAAAGTTCGAAATAAACTAGGAACGTAAGAATGTGGTTGGAGTGTTTAAAAATGGCATGGACAACTTTAGAAAAGTAAAAATTATTTTTAAATTTAAAAAATATTATTGTAGGCAATTTTTTCCAAAATCCCCAAAAAAATTTTGAAAACTGTTAAAAATGCATGAAAAACAGAAGAATAAACTCCGAAAGCCATCCCAAATTTCGATGAAAATTCTCCAAGACAAAGGTGTGGCCCTGGGGGCGCTTTCGGACATCCGACCTCCAAACTTGGTCATGAATAATATAATCTGGTCAAGGTCGAAGGAAGATGACGAATATGCGTTTTTTGTGGAGCAAAGACAATGAAATTTGCATAAACATACAAAAGAAGACGTAATCTGAATACGAGGAATTAGTTTTATTCGGTTAAAGAGTTATTACTGAAGATGGAAGGGGAATTGTACGATGAATTAGATGATTTTTAATTGAAAAACTGGTTTTAAATTTTAAAATAGAATTTTTTGATAAAAAAATGCCAGTTTTAACAATATGAAACTTATTATACGTCTGAACAAAATTGCAAAAACAAGAAAATGAAACAAATGATGACTAGAGGCATACCTATAAAACTAAAGTCATTCACTACAGATAGTCAAAAATAAAAATGGCATAACCGGCTGCTACAAAATAAAAACAATGCCAAAAGCTATCCACATGCCAAGTTATAACCAGTTTCATATATTGTAACATAAGTTATTAAAAAAAGACTGATAAAACAACATTTATTCAAAAAATGCCATTTTTACTAAAACGGCTAAAAATATTAAAAAAGTACAACTACCCATACCCAATCCGTGCCTACTTTCTATATTCAACCCTTGCCCAACCCATGCCCACTTTACCCATACGCTACAGATGCCCATTTCCGCCATACTAACACAAGCCCACTTTAATATACCTAACCCATGCCTACTTTCTTGATATTTAAACTTTTCCCCAACCCACGCCCACTTTAACCATACCCTACCCATGCCTACCTTACCATACCCAACCTATGTCCACTTTACCCGTACCCTACAGATGCCCACAGCCCTCATACTAACCGATGCGCACTTTACCATACCCAACCCATGCCCCCTACAAAACCTCTTAATACCCCGCCGTTTCGTACAGCACGCCTATTAAAACCCAAAAAACGTAATGTAACTGCATTAACACGCACTCCAACATTGTAAGTGATCGTATCCCGCGGCGTTAAAAAAACACATGTCCACTCTTGAGGCCGAAAAAGGTCAACAATCCGCTCCCTTTTCGTATAACCCCCTCCGTCTCCTAATACAATATCCTCTTCGTAAGTGCGTCGAATCTTGTGCTTCGGGTTTTAGGTGGCAATTTTGAGTATTTTGAGTTTTGCCTTAAAAATTTTTTTTCGCAAATTTGGTTTATTATGTTGTTCAAATAGTTCAGTGCCCTCCACCAACAAATATTTGTTTTGAAACGGAGCACAGAATTATTTGAACAACCTAATATATCAAATTTGCAAAACAAAAATTTTTTATTTTTGTAGAGAAGAGCATCAGGTTGTTCAAATATAAATGAGCCAAAAGTTATTTTTCCAAAAGTACCTTCTCACCTTCTTTCTACCTCTACCCTAATTCCCATACCCTATCAATCCACAACCTCATTCTTCATTTCCCGTCATCACTTCAATTAAAACCGTTTTTTAATCCCGCCCAACCCCCACCCCTTCCTCTATTGAATCGCGCAATGTCCACAAATTGCGTGGCCAAAAAGTAATTTTTTGCGTTTTAAAAAAATCCGCAAAAAATGTAATTTCGTCCGCTTAAAAAACGAGCCACTTTTACTTTACACTAAAAAAGGTAATTACCACGCCGGGAGTAATCCTTCCAAATAACAGTTAGTATTCAAATACCTGCAGTGGCAACTCGGTCAGAAAT